ATATCATAATCGCGGGTATTCCACCTTTCGGTAAGAGTCGCTGGAAGATAAAATAAATGGCTCTCTAGGAGCATAGAAGGTTCGGAATCGCTTTCAATAAGTGCCATTATACTTTGTCTTTAAGTGCATCAATTGCAAGTTGTCGCTTTGTAAGGACTACTTTGCGTCGTTTTCGGCCCTTAATACCCGATCCTTGCTGTTGTTTCAGTTTGTCACTAACATGTTCTACAGCTTTGTCAATTGCCGATTCCACAGCTTTATGGGCCATATTTTTCATGTGCGGTTGGGCTTTTGTTATTAAATTGCTTATATGGGGCGCGGCTTTGCTGAAAACACCTTTAGCAAAACCGATAACTTTCCCCCAAAAGCCAGCACCGGACATGGGGGCACCGCGGTATACCGGCATCCCAAACCCATGTTGCCGGCTAAAGGCCTGTAAATAACGATTTTCATCAAACTTGTGCTCTTGAAGTACCATTTTTCAGCGTTTCTTGGGTCGAAAATGTAACTTTATTATCGTGGTACCGGGATGAAACGATACTTCTGTCCCTAAATCATCTGCGAGTTTTAATTCAATGGTCTGAAAGGTGTGTTCGGCAAGTGGCACATAAAGCGGATTTTCGTAAATTAATGTAGTCTCGCGTGCGAGAACTGGCGACGGTTGCGATTGTTCGCACGCGAACGGTACCATTGCATCGCCGACGAACCCGTGCTCAATAATGTCGCAATAAACATGCACAACACGACTCTGTTTGCCCCGTCGTAAGTGGTACGTTTGACCACCGGCACCGGCGTAAAAGTGCTCTTGCAATAGACCCAGCGCCCTCGTATACTCTGATCCCTGAAACGTGAGCTCGGCATCAGGATTTACCACCAGCTGTGCGGAGCTACCATTCACGTCAATATGTCCAAAGATGGTGTCTTTGTCACGCAGTAGAAGGTTTATTTTCCGAATTAGTTGATTCTCGTCATTGTATGACTCTTTATTTAAGTACCGACTGTGTCTCGGCGTAGTCGTGGTTTTAACTAGCACTGCCAAACCCTCAGTAAACCTGAGACGCATCGGTGGTAAAATAATTTCGGAAAGACCGACTTCCCAGTTTCCTTCAAGATCAATACCTTTGGCTAGCAAAGTTGTGAATTTTCCACAACGATTTGCGGGATAAATATTGTGAGATGCGGAAGACGGTAGTGTCATATAAAAACTCATTTTAGATCTTCTTTGTTTTCCCAACAGTCGTAAGCGGGGCCGTAACCGTACCAACGTATAAGGTATTGCTGTTTTCCCTTGTACATTCTCTCCCTTAATATACGTGATATACGATGAAACGGTCGCTCGGTCATAATAAATTTTGACAGTTCGCTGGCATAAAAATCTCCATCAATTTTCTCACCTCCTAGGTCCTCCAAAGCGTAAATGTAATGATTCTGTCGTTTTTTAACTTGTACAATTTTAAAAATTTCTTCAGTGTAATTGGTTTCGTATCCCTTTTCGAACGTCTGCTTGCGTTTTGCTATACGCACGTGATCCCCTACCTGAAAAATAGGATTTTTTGCTTGTGGCTCTTCTATCATATCTTGACGTATAATGCGCGCTTCATCTACATCCACTTGACTGGGGGCAAACCCTGTACTCGAGTGAACAGAATTATTATATAATTTTAAAATCTCAGGTAAAATATCGAGGTACTTGTAAGTATTATTGTCTGTCATGTACACGTAAAGACGTTCTTTAATTGTTCGGTTAAATCGCTCTACCATGGCACATTTAACATCGTCGTTCTTTGTTGTAAAAAACCTGATATTGTGATCAGTAAAAAAGTTTTTCAGTTGTTTATTCACAAATTCTTTACCGTTATCGCTTTGACAGCGCAGTGGTCGATCAGATTCTTTATAAATATTACATAGAGCACGAATAATTTTTTCGGGTTTCTTTGATTTGACGGGCTCGGCCCAGCCGTAGCGAGAAAAACAATCGACACATGTCAGTAAATACTTAACGTCTTTATTGTCATTCACAAATTTTTGCATATCTGCCAAGTCAATTTGGTGCTGGTCACCAATATTAAATGATAAAATCTTCCGACGTTTAAATTTTGACCGAAAAGGTTTATGTTGAGTATAAGCGTCTTTACTTTGCAAATACTCTTCCACTTGCTGACGAGAAAATCCATGATTTTGCGCTTCCCGGTACAAACGCTCGATGCCTCCCAGACTACCAGGATTAGAAGCATCTAGATAAATATTGTCCAGTGTTGCCATTATGCGTAGCTGAGCCAACCACCCTTCTGTGTCTTTTGCTTCTTTTTAGGAGGACCAGTAGATTTTGTGGTTTTACGCCTTAATAAGTCATAGCTCTTTTCAACGCCATTCTTGAGGGGGCGTGTTTCCGTTGGTTCTGTATACGTCAACGCTTTGAGTGTCGGAGCCGCTGGTAAGGACTTTGAAGTTGATGGGGCGGGCAAAGCATTTAAATTTTCCGGTACAGGTAAGGCCTGTGAAGTCGAAGGGGCCGGTAAAGCCCTGGATGTAATCGCTTTTCTATCGGGAACCTTATACGGAGCCGCTTTTTTGCTGCGTGTAATTGGACCAGAGCTTCGCGGTGCAACCACAACGTCAGTCCGGTCTGTAGGTAGCGACACGGGAAGTGGTTCGTATTCGGGAGGTACATACTCCAATGACCCATCATCAGGAAACTCTACGACGGGTGAGGATGGTAGCTTCTTTTTTGGTTTTTGCCCTTTGGATATTGGCTTGGGGCGTGGACTTTTATACACATGTTTTACCAGTGTCTCTCTAGGTACATATTGTGGTACGTATTGTACAACTGAATCACGTTCGATATACTGTACAACGGGATCGCGCTCGATATACTGCACAATAGGTTCGCGTTCAATATATTGTATTGTGGGCTCACCTTGGATATATACCGGCTCACTTGGTAGATACTGAATAACCGGAGGTTCGGTCGCTTGTGTTGATCCATCAGTAAGTAGGGGCGCAGCTTGAGTACCATAGTTTCTTTGCGAAGGCACGCTTGGTATGTGTTCGTTAACTTCAGATCTTATAACCCGTGGTTCATAGTCTGCAGGCTTAGTCTGATACGCGGCTCGAGCCAGCAAATCATGAGTCATGGCACTACGAATTTCTTCAGCCTTTTTCCATGATGTGGATTTAGTCTTGCCGGGCGCAGAAAATTCGGACTCTGGCACAAGAACGTAGGTCTTCATTTTGTTACAAATGATGCAACTAGTGTTCCTAGAATTGGAAGTAGAGCAGCTAAGAATCCTCCTTTTTGCGCTGAAATTGTTCGCTTTTTAACGTGTGAAAGTTTTCTGTCGGCTAAACGCTTAATTATCGGGGCAAAACGTCGTGCTCTGGCTAAATCAACTTTACTCAAAGCCGTTGGTTGCTTCACCAAATTTAAACAAGCTTCTTCAATTGCTAAAATTTGTTTTTTAGAAGCAACCTGTAAAAAATATCTACGCTGTCTTGGATTCATAATTTCCAAAGCGCGTAGTATACTGAGAACGTCTTCTGGATTCATTTTTCCACGTATATTTTCCGGTAGTCAAATATGTTTGACTGTAGCCTTAGCTTGTCAGGTGTATCAGGACGCAGATTTATTACCAAATAACCAAAAGGTGCCTTTATAGCCTTTTTGTATGCTTCACACAAATGCGGCATACCTAGCTGGCGAGAAAGTAGTTTAATCTGTTGTACATCACGTACAGATTTAAATAAAATTAAATATTGTGAGTTAAGAGAGATATCTCTCATGCTTTTGCCTTGTTTGTATAAATTTTGCGATATAAAGATAACGGAAACATTTTTATGATGCACATCTCTAGTAAATATTGTCGAGCACTTTGCGTTTTTTGATATTTCTTCCATGAGATCATCAAGAGTAAGTAGCGTAGGCGTATTTCTATCGAAAAAATTCTCATCTTCCAAAATTTTTTTCATTCCCGGCAGCAATTCGATGGATTATCAAAATTATTGAATGCCTCTTGCCATGTACCGTACGCATATACTATACGTATGGGCGCGGGTGTGAAATTATTGGGAATACTCCGTAAAAGTTGCATCGTAAATGTCGATTTTCCGGACATAGTTGGACCAGAAATATAAAGCGAACAAGGAGTTTTAAATCTGAAATCAAAAGTCACCTTTTCCATTTTAAAAAACTCCGTTTTCAGACCGCTATTTGTATGCTTTATCTATGAGAAATTTTTTTCAAGAAACTCCTGATTTTGACTTTGAAAAACTCTTGTATCGATTCAGATTCTGGAGTTTTCAGTTGAAGAATCTAGGAGTTTTATTATAAATTCAAAACTTCTCGAATTTGCTCCGAAGAAGTACAACCAAGGACTACACAGCTACCAGTATGGAAAATATGAATGGTAGCGTACGAAAGCCTTAATTTTAGTGCTGGAAACAGCTCTGGCTCTAGTAGACGTTGCACGGAGAAGTTTTTTGCTTTCTCGTAAAGCTTTACCAAGTTAACGTTCTGTGTATGCTTGTACGTGCAAACGGTATTTGCGACACTGCTGTCCTTAATGTTTAATTCTATGCCTTGAGTATAAAGCATCATTTGATAACATTTTAGAAGTGAATACGACCCTGTAATACTTTTAGCACCGTTTATTATAGCCTTACCATTAGGGAATAATTGACAGAACGTTTTGTTTTCTAAACTTAAAGTGACAGAATTAAATCCTTTAACAGACTTTGTATTAAGTGGAAATGATTTCCAAACTTTCTCCAAACAAATCGCTTTGTCGAATTGGACGGAAAGAATGACGTTACGGATATCCATGGCTACGAGCATTAATTGCGACAGTGTCAACTTGGAACCTTTATATACCTTTCAAGTTAAGACTGTCACAAATAATGGCTTCTAAGCCTTTTTTCTTTTCACGACAAACAGAACAGAGTAAATGCTAAGTAAGATATGCTAATAAAAATTGAAGCATCCAGTCAGACAACAATATCCCGGCCCCAGTGCTGGATGTAGATTTCCTCCATGAGATTGATAAATCCCTGATATCGTAGTTGAATGGTGCGCCGAGGTTAAGAGAAACGGATCATGCGTCCGTATTTCGGGTGGATGCTGACAGTAACATCCACACAGCCCTGACCCGGCAGAGAAAACTTTTCAGCACCCTTGTCGATAATGGCCCGGTCCATACAATCCTGCAGTGTCCCGTTTCTAATCATCCCCAACAAACAGTTGATATCGGCATACACCAGGCGAACTCCTTTGTCCATGGCCTTCTTCAGCCCAGAACCGTCCGGTTTGGCATCGAACACTAGAAAGAAGCAAACATCCTTCGGATTCCAAAACATACTAACTACAGCGTTGATTTTGTAGATAGTAAAATCTTCATGCACCCCCAAAACTTCCAAAGCCCGTACTAAAGCCATTTTGATGTGAACAGGAGAGCGGTCGACATCAAACTAAATGTTCTTTGAAATGTAGTTACGCTTGAAGACTTACGATGTTGAAATTCCGCTGGCGAAAGAACTCGACTGGCGATGGAGCGCCAGTGACGTCGTAGACGCTGTATTTGGACAGTGTATCGATGTACTTTGTTTCTAAGCGGTAAAGCAAAGCCTCGTCCTATGCAATTTTCCACACGTCACCGTTCGTTTGGTCGTTGGCAAGCGAAACAATGGCCTATGCATTTGTCGTCTTGATAAGCCGTTATTCAAAAACTAGTTTTGTATATTTGACGCTTACGCGAACTTCTCGGTACCATTGGAAAACTGCTGGATGAAGTTTGTCTGTGGTTATTTGGATAACAAACAATGCGATTATTGTGATAATTGGTCTAATTGGTCTGATTCAATGGTGCACGGGTTAGGTAACCGCCGACCAAGTAATCTTCACGGTGGGCTGCCATATCAGCGGTCCTGTCTCGGCCTCAGTCTCGGTTTAAGAGCAAGCAGACAGACTAGCGGTCCTGCCTCGGTCTCAGTCTCGGCTTAAGAGCAAGCAGCCAGACTAGCGGTCCTGTTTCGGGCTCAGTCTCGGTATTGGAGGTGGAGTCAGCCAAGCAGAGTAGGCAGCCAGACTAGCGGCCCTGTCTCGGCCTCAGTCTCGGTTTCGACCAATCAGAGATGCTGCCGGACTAGCGGCCCTGTCTCGGCCTCAGTCTCGGTTTCGACCAATCAGAGCGAGGGGCGCGTCTGGCCAATCAGAGAGGAGGCGTGTCTGACCAATCAGAGAGGAGGCGTGTCTGACCAATCAGAGAGGAGGCGTGTCTGACCAATCAGAGATGCTGCCGGACCAGTGCACATACTACTGACGTTTCGTCGACACCGACATCCGCTGGGGCACTTGCTGTCATTGCGACAATGCGTTACCGCGGGACATCGTGCGTAGCGTCGGTGGCCTGCAGTAAAATTACTTTGTGATACCTTTGCGCTGCTACCGATACTTATGGCTACTGAGAATAGCTACGGTCGGACTTACGCAACGATGCTTCAGTGTAAATTCCTCCCATCAGGGTGCCGATATGGTTTTGCGCAAAGGAGATTTCCATGGCACCAAATGCAGTGTCCTTTGAGTTTTCCGCTTGAGGAACGCGCGTCAAGACGTCCTAATACGAATAATTATGTTAACGAACTCTGCGAACCATCTTAACGACCCAAAGCCAGAAACCTATCTATATAAGCAAACGAATGCAATATTTTCCTGTATTTGGCGAACTTACCACCACCAAAACCACGAAAGCCATATAAAAGATGGCTAGGGATTGAAAATGCATGATTGAAATAATTAAAAACCAAATCAATAACCAAAAAACTAACTCTACTCGAGCAAGAGCCAAGGTATGTAGTTGCCGATTATAATGGTTTAGTAGAGTCAGGTATGTATTGCCAGATGCAAGAGTTATAGTTTTCTAATCGTATAGCCGTTTGAGTCGCCCATTATGATAAGTGCATGAGAGAGGGTCGTTTGAGTGAACTGTCTATATCTAAATCATTATAATCCAGAAACCGAATTTCCTTCGGTTTTTTTTTAGAATTGATTAAGCAAGAATACGGTTTGAAGTACTTTAAGTTTTTAAAAAAAACTGAGCCATTTTTTTGGGTTGCGCTGTAAAGAATTCCGTGACGAAAGTGATTTTGTCACGTCACCGAAGTCACTGCACTACACCGCAAAGCGACATTTTGCACATGAGTCGTTTATACGACGATGGCGCAGCCGCACGAGTTGGCAGTGACCGCGTTTCTGGCATAGTGCAGCGGCTTCGGTGGCGTGGCTTCTATCGCTATCACCACGGATTTTTTTACAGCACAATAGCAAAACAGGCTGAAACATTCTTAAAGATTTCAAGTACTCTGCGAAGAGTGCGTACTCCTTGCTTTGAAGAAAAAAACCAAAAACACTCGGTTTCAGGAACGACTGATGGACCATTTCAGTGGTCGTTTCAGTGGACCATTTTAGATGGTCCACTGAAACGACCATCGCTCATGCACTTCACTCGCTCATCGCTCGACCACAGTGGCCCACTCTAACCGCTTCCGATCACTTCGGCCGAGTTGGATTTCGGCCGCACAGGATCTCTTCGGCCAGCAGTCACTTCGGCCACCGCTATTTTGGCAGCTGCACATTTCGACCATCAGTTTTCTTAAGTTTTTTAAGTATATTAGATTTTGCATGCCAACATATGTCATTGCGCTGTCCTGTCATCTCTAATGTGGTATTTGCATGTTTAGTACGAGTATCTGGCCGGTAATTTAAAACGAGCCCGACGCTCATATCGTAACAGGTTTATCGTGCTCGGTCTCTTAGTTTTGCTCGGATTAATCGTCGGCCTCAGCTTCTTCGGGAGGTTTCACCTCGTGTCTGCGATAAATCCCTAACCTCTATGATGCTGATGATCATTTGCTGGATTTTATATAATTTTTAAACTTTCTCCAATGAGCCTTAACCGTGTGCACGACCACCACACTATTTCCCTGTACAGCGATTGCGCAGGCAAAATTTCAGAAGAGAGTTAGACATAGACATATACAGGAGCACACGCCGTTTACGCTTGTATTACATTTTCTTGAGCTACAATACAGATATTTCAGCCGTAAGCTGCATATAAATTGTCCAGGAAAATATAAACTGAGCAATACAAAAAGAGTTTTACCGGAAATATCTAAATTCCTACTGCAGAATCAACTCGCGGACATCCTCGTTTAGGATGCTTAAAAAAATTATTCATGTGCTATGGTCAATAGAGCGTGGCCAGAACCAAATTTAGAAATAAATTCTACAATATTATGGCAATCCCACCAAGAAAATTGTGAAAACAGGAGTCAGTGAGACTGTCATCTCAAAAGTCAGCTCAGAGGAAGGTTGCACCAGCAGTGCCTGCGTGTGGCAGGTTTGAGTTGCCGAGAGCTGTTTCGGGGAAGCATAGATAGCAAATCGTTGTAGGGTACTAATAATGAGTTACTAATAATTATTATTCTACTTGTACTCATCGAACTGGCGGAGCCTGGCATTGCACAATTATACTTTATCTGATAGGATCATTGCGTTATCACTAGGCTCAGATGCTGCCTTTAAACGTCGTACTATCAGAATATTATATTGATCGTATCGAGCAATCCTACAGTATGTAGGTATTGTACCTCGTATTATAAGTACTCGTACTAATCCTGCGTGATCGAAAGCGCCCGTATCTGTTTGGCTGCTTCTAGTTTATATCTATACTAAGCGTTTCGCCATTTCTTTTGAGATAATATTATGCGAATTGCGCGTGTAGTATCTACAGTAGAAAATCTTGCTTTTGTTGTTTCTACTGTTTCCTTCGTACTGATTGCCCAGTGACGTTATAAGTCTGATAGCGTAGAATGCCGTGCATTTCCTATTGGCTACAGCACCATTGCTGTCGTGAAAAGAAAAGTACACTGAATGCAGGTAATTCGAACAATCGTAGGCGAAATCTGTTACTGGGATTTTAGATTTTCATGAAACAGGTAAGTAAACTGCAAGTGTAACTTGTTTGTAAAGGCTTTACAGTAGATGGCAATATCAACCGCTTTAAGGCCCCACCGAGAAACGACAACGAGCAATTTGTAACGTTTCCACGCTTTTCCACCGAGCCGATTACGCATGACCACTGACCAGTTGCATGCTGTATTTTGCGACCAACCGCCCGCCGGTCGACTACACCCCCCAACATTGAACCGCCATTCAGGGATTGCTTCTACGTTGCAGCTCAGAAGCTACACCCGAGGAAGTCCATCGACAAGCCGTGGCATTGGCTAAGCCGCCAATAAAACCGGTTGCCATCAGTGTACTATTAAAGAATCTACTAGACGGCGAACACATCAGCTGGGCTTACCTTTCTCCAGTGCGCGACCAGACGGTTAGTATGCAGCTCTACCTGTGGCAGCCATCGCGCACCACGGGCAAACTGTCAGCACTGCGCATGCCGAATCTGCTGGAATTTTGCTCCACTGACTGTTAAAAATTTGGAAGTCAGGTGGGGTGAATTCTGGCATCCAGCAAGCTCCGGATTATCCAGTTCCTGAACACAACGCTACACTTTCTGGAGCCGGAAACATTCACGGATCTGTCTGTGTTGCGCTTTCTGACTTTGGAGCACGGTTTCAGCGGAATGGAAATTTTCGAAATGCCGGTCAGGGAGAATCTGGAACGGCTGCAACGTGGTTGCGAATACGAATGGTTCCGACAGTGTTGGTGCGTTAATGGCTTATTACAGCAGGCCAAAATAGGGGAAATATAATGCCTTCCTTTTAATTCTTGGGCCAGCCGAGACTTCACCAAAGGATGACATATTCCTCCCCGTCGACTGTGCCGCAACGGTGATTCCCATCAGATCCGCCGCCATTGACTTCGTCCAGGAAGTCTATTATGTTAACGAGAACTCACCTACGGTTAAAACCGCTAAAATAAAGTGTAACTTTTAAGAAGCAATTACTGAACCTGTCCAGCCGCCTCATACCGGCTAACTGCCCGATCGTTCAAGCGCATCATTTATTACATTACAGTAAAAACGAATAGGTCGCGATGTGGCTAAATCAGATTATGAACCAGTAATTAGAAACGAAGTTGTGCTGAACGACGTAACAGTTAAACAATAAATCACCGTTGACAATTCACCGTTTTTGGGAAAATTTTCTTGCTATACGTTTTAAGTAAGCAAAACGTAACGTACACACATCGATGAATCTGATGCACTATAAATACATCATATACATGCAAAAAGAACTCCAATCATTCACAAAAATTTACTGGTTCACTGTAACAAAGTAGTGCGACGCAGGTGTTAATTATTCGTTCGTACCGATCATGAAATATGTAATTACGACCTAATCCTTCTGTAACTTGGAAAGTGTGTGTATGAAAGCATATTCTGGCTAATTGACTTACAATAGAATAAGTTTTGTACCGGTAGAATGATTCTTTAATTTCTGTACTCGTATTAAGTTTTGCAGCATGCTGTACTAATGGACCAATTACGCAAACTCTTACGTAAATTTATGATGTTTACGGTGTCAGTAATTTTTGTTTCGCGTGGCTAGGAACTGAACTACAGTACTGTAACAAAATTGCGTTATATTTCACATATGTCCGTACAATATATTTAATACTAATTAATGACAGAGGCTCTCTGAACGCTATTTTTTGACGGTATATTAAAACGGTAAAGGTTTTGATGGCGGCAAAGGTAAAGGCAAAGAGGCGGCAAAGGTAAAGTAGGCCGATCCTCCATATTAGAGATGTCTATAGGTTTTCAAATTCACTCAAAAAACATTAGACGCTGTTTGCAACCGCTCGACTTAATAATAGCCATAAACTTAACTATGGCGTATGGTTAAGCGCGAGCCGGTATGGTACGTGCGGATACTATACTGAAACTCGTATGCTAGTCAAATTCCAACGGCTCCTCTTACTCTCTAAGCACTTCAACTTAAATTTGCGGTGGGCATTTCAAACACAGAAAATGAGAGAACTTGAATTTTGTTATGTTTCAAAGGAAACCACCCCACGTGGCACGGAGGAAAAAATAAATTCGAAGACCCTTAGAAATCAGTTGAGTTTGCAGTAAAGTATTTGCCACTTCGATGGTAATCGTTTAGCTACGCGATAAGCGATGGCTAAGATATGGTTATGGTGTTTTCTGCAAAAAGCCTATTTTACATGAACAATTTTTCGAAATTTAGCATAGGTTGACGTTTTCGTGGCTACTGGCTGACCCCATCACTGTCTAAACAGCCGATACGTTTTTTTTCGCTGCGGTTGGATGGAACTATACACGTTCCATAACAGATAATTTTTCATCGTCTTAATGTATCTTTCTTATAAAAATTAAGTTTTGAAAAAGAAAATAAAAGAAAGAAGGTAAAATCCCGCGAAGATTGTGCGACTGTGGGTTCTAAAGTCTGATTTTGGGAACGAGCATGACCCCCGCAGTGGTTTAATTAGTTTTCGTTTAACTACCAGTAAAATGCATTCCCGTTTGCCTTCCCGATTGCCCCGATTGGGATGGCCCGATTGCCTTTCTTGCAGAGATGCCTGCGAATTATGGCAAATGTGCTACGCTTTCGTTTTCTTTAGATAAGGCAAGGTGGTGTTCGAGAAAACCACACGCAGCAACCTGAAAAATTCAGGATTGCTCTCTGTTAACGTTGGTATACGGATTGGTAAACTAGAGTCTAGATATAAAGTGCATCAGAGGTGTTGGTATGTAAATTGAGATTTTAACAGTTTACTGGTACTTGTACTGTACAAGTAAACTGTTATCCGATAGTCTATGCCTCTACAGCTTAAAAAAAAGGGCAGAATGAAAAAAAAGGAAGGAAGAGCAACTTCTGGTAAATTACGGAGTCCCTAAGCAGCAGGTGCACGAAATCTAAATGATTGGATAACTGATCTGAAAATTAAGAATTGGTTTGGAAACCAACGAAAAAATTTCTCCGCAAATATCCCAATTTAGGTTTCAGGTCATCTTTGCAGTCTGTTAAAGCAACAGGCAAATTCTGCAGCAGACATTGTGGTTATCTGCAAACGCTGGTACTGTATATTGCAGAATTTTACGCTTCGTCCATAAAACCTATACTTCACCCGCAGGCTGCGGACATGAGTTTTAGTTTTTGCACTAGGTTATGATTTGTCCATCCCGCTAATCATTCCGCGCAATTTGCGCGGGGTCTGCTAGTAGAGTTATAACGGCAGAATCTATGTACGTAGCTTGTATAGTAAGTTACCGATAGTCCACTTTAGCCGTCAAGAAAGTAAGCTGCAACAGCTATTTCGCACACCTATTAGCGCGTGTGGTTAAAGATCCTCCACAATGCCAGTGTGCTGAGTTGTCCGAGATCCACCGTTGTCATGTCGACATCGTGCCACGCGTGCGGACTGTCCACCCAGAACGCGCTGCAACTGCTGCAATACAAACCAGTCACATAAATTCAATCGTCGCTACCCATACTTGAGAGTTTTTCACTTTGTACTTATTCTTTTGGTAATGCAGATGGGACCAGAAAGGTAGCCGCCACCCTTGCGAAGCATGGACGCAGCATGAAGACGCTATGGAGGAATCAAAGCCGACCCGGAGTTATCGCCGTTAATATCCTGAATGTATCCTAAACATGAAGTACCCTTCTCCATCCGCACTGCGACGGTTTTCCCGTAGCTCATTGACTCACGGTCAATCAAAGGCCGTCCAAATGCCGGAAATGTTGTTCTGGAATCCGCTTTGTGCTAGAACAGAAAATGCCCCACTTTCGATAGCTAGCCTCGAGAATAATTTAATACATCCATCATTAGTACCAATGCGAACGTTGGAGCAGCCGCCGAACACGCCGGAAGGGGGAAACTGACAAAACGCGCCTGGCTACAATCAAGATAACGATTTCGTAGCTCCAGCCTTCGAACCTGGGTCCCAGGGTCCGTAAGTTTTCGTGCAACCCAGAACGTTTCACGGGCCTCATATATTCATGAAACCTATTAAATCCACTCACTCAGCCGCGTAGTCAGAGAGCCACGAACAAGATTAATTGAACATCAAAGCTTTTGACTCCCGCGCGCGAAAGGGGCTTTCAGTGCAGCTAACTGCTTCTAATAGTGTCTGGTATGGCGACAGTAGTTTCCCTAATGCAATTACCAAAGTATTGATGGACACTCAAACCTTTAATAAGTACGAGTACCATATTTCGGATACAAACTAGGTACCAATAACAAAATTTATAACAGAAACACTTCCTCTATGCTCTCCTGGTCAGGGATGGTTCCCACTACACATACTGCATTTCCACGCTGTATTTGGATGGATAGTCGCTGCTTAAAAACCTCGTCCGCCCGTTTCTGGCCAGTGGAAGTTGCTATGCCGTTTCCAACCTTCTCCACTAGCTTTTTAGTTCCGTGTCCCCAGGGCAGAGCCTAAAATTTTCAAAATCTAGGTTAGCACATTTAATTTTCGCAGAGGGGGGTATTGGTTGATTTATTTATATTTCATACCGGCTTACATAGTCTGATGTCCAGATGTACATTCGCGAACCTATAGTTAGGGGTCACGCAAAACTGCAATTTTACTGCTTGCTTATAAATAACTCAAAAACTATGAGTTATGAATTTGTAATCTGTTGTAACGGCAACGGGTCGTGAGCTATGTAAGCGAAACAAACCAAATGATCATGGGTACTTGTTCGCATTCTTCGCGCGAAGGTGACGGTGCTTGTTGCCCTAAAAATGTGAGAAATTAAAACAAATTAGCTATTTTTTCAAGAGATATTTAGATGGCCGAACACGATATCTTCCTAACTCGCCGCAAGCTTGCGTACCAGAGAGTGGCTAGTGTTCTAATATAATAACATCACAATAATACAACAAAATGGTTTTTGCAATAAAAAAGGCTCGTCCCATCCAAATGAAACAGTTGTATTGTACATTCAACCTTTTCGTTCGAATTACTTACCGTTTACAGGTAATACACAGCTTGCCCGTATCAAGACGAAATATTGTCACAACTGAACCTGAATGTGATCTTAAAATAATTTGGAAAATGCCCACAGCCTCGATCTCCAAAACAAAGATCCTTTATTCCAAGATCAGAGCAGGGCCCAAGCAGAGAACCTATCAGACTCAGTGGCGAATTCGGATGCATGCAGCGGACCGCTGCTTATGCAGCATCGAGCTGAACGGATGAATGAACTTGAACCAATTACAACTCCCATGAGTTTCTTTGTCAACGGCTGTCGCAGGAGATTCAGCGAGGTAACGCAGCTTCCGTACTCGGAACAATGGAGGGAGCGATAGCGTTAAATGAGATTTGGTTACTGTGATTAACTGTTTTTGATCTGTGTTCAGTGTATCGTACCTGTATTTTATGAAATAAAGTCTTACTCTAATATAGCTGTTAAAGTATTACAACTAGTGCTGGGCCGACCCGAACGGCCCGGGGCTTCTGGGAGGGCCGAGCCGAGCCGCGGCCCCGGCCCGGGCCGTGGCCAGCCGTGGACATTAAATGTGGAAGAAGAAAACGAAAATTTCCACTGGGATTGACTGAAATTCAGAGTTTTTTTTTATTAATTTTTGCAGCATAAACGTTTTGTAGGCGAATACCGGCCTATCTTTCTGTTGATATACTCTCTGTAGCCGTTTGCAAATGACATCCGGGAATGAAATGCTATTAGCTGCAAGGCGGCCCCTAGAAACGACGGCCCGGCCCATTTGCTCGGTTCGGGCTGCGCGGGCCGGTCCGACTAAACACTACCTACCAATAATCACTAACGACAACCTAGTGGGGCGCACCATTACACGTTGCGCTGTGTAGTACTTAAGCCGATTCTTCTGCCGGTCAGTGCGCTCGGGAAAATTCTGCTTGTTTACTATAAACTAGTACAGAAGATCATAACTGCCCTTAGTGCAAGCGACCTAACGTGCAAGATTTTCTATATAAAAAACTCCCTTGGCTAAAACATTTATTGCTAGAACTGAATGAGCGGCCGATCGAGCCGAACAGAGAAAGAGCCTTTCTGCGGCACTGGGCTAATCCAACACGAGCGATACGAACGCTGACTGGGCGGGACGTAAAGCCGTAGGTGCGGCAAGGCGTAGCCGAGCCGGGGTCGAGGCCGATACGGCGTACGACAGCGAGTGCGACTCCGTGTGCGAGTCAGCACACCGGAATCAGGACTGTCGCTGGCTAACACTCTCGTATGCTGCCACAGCGACGGGCCCAACATGCCACTGGGTGGGAGTGCGAGCTCCTGCGAAGGACATCGGCCTCTTTCCGTCCCAGTGCCTGTTCCGCGCCCGACACTATTTGAGTCGGTGGGTGCGCCGGGGGGTGTCCAGTGTGGGTCTCTCCGGACCCGTTCTCCTCCGTGGTGGCAGTACAAAATCACTGGAGAAATCTGAAGTTCAGTCGGGTTTCTTGTTGGACTTGTGCCGGCTTCTGTTGGTGACCCTTCTGTCGGCAAACACCCGTAATGGCGAAGGCGAAAAACTGTCTTCCTAGTTAAAAGTTAAAACATCACACTTCCCGATGGGCAGGTTAACAGAACAGATCTGCTAAAGATCTAAATGTGCGCATCATTACGAGATTAGAAAATTAATCGCAAAGTCTTTGGTCCTGGGTTTTAGGCCTGGTGCTTATTGCGACTGGAAGACTTCCGTACACGAGGGCTCGACTCCACTGGGTGTCCGGTTATCCGAGTCCGAGGCATCGGTTCTCGGGATACCCGATAATACCGGTTCAGTCACCGAGGGTCGGGTAAGTAACGGGTGCAAAACTCACTTCTGACCGGGATCATCTGGTAATGGTTGACCTGAACATTCATAGCTGGGTCCGGCCGGGGTTCGTCCGGTAAGGCTGATGGAGAAGCACCGTCGCAGTCCACAAAAGCCATAAACCATCCTCTCTAGGTAAGGAATAGGACCTATGGGGCCACCTGGTCGGGAGATCATCGTTTTCCGCGCCTACCGATCGGCGGCCGGAATGAACGGCGGCCGAAAAAAATTGGCCGAAATGAGCATGGCCGAAATGAAAACGGCCGAAGTACTTCGGCCGCAGTTTATTTCGGCCTACGCTTTTTTTGTTCTTTTTTGGGCAAGAAAATGTTACTTTCCAATTTCCATGCTACAACGTTTCGATGATGCCATAACCTTTCGAATGACCTAAGAAAACCTACGAAACCGAAGAACAACTTAGAATAACCTAATAAAACCTAACATAACTAAATAGACAATTTGGGCAAGGTGCGGCAGTAGCAATACAAATGGCTATAGCCATAGCCGTCTCGTAGACGGACCACGGGACGGCTATTGCTACAGTCATTGGTATTGCTACTGCCGCATTTTGCCCAAATTCTCTAATAAACCATAAGAAAACCTAAGAAACCTAAGAAAATAACCGAAGAAAAAATAAGAAAACAAAAGAAAACCTAAGAAACCTAAGAAAATATCTTAAAAAACCTAAGAAACCATAAGAAAACCTAAGAACTCTAAGAAACCTAAGAAAATAACCTAAAAAACCTAAAAATCCCAGGAATATGAGAACCTAAGAAACCTGAAAAAACCGAAGCAACATCGTGAAAACTAGGAAAACCTGGGAAACTGAAGATGGCCAAATGCCTTGTTGCCGAAATGAGCGGTGGCCGAAATGAGTGCTGGCCGAAGTGAGCCTCGGTCGAAATGAACGTTGGCCGAAGTGATCGCATGCGGCCGAAATGTAACGCGGCCGAAGTGATCGGACGCGGTTTTGGTTTTGCGCAGCTCGCCACTAGCAAGCCGCTTTTCTTGCGACTACCCCCGGCGATGTTGTGGTACCATTCCGTTGTTAGATCGCACTATGCGGTGGTGTTCCCTTCCTTCCGGGTGTAGCGCAGCTGGGTTAACGGTCTATAAGTTTCTGATATTATTATTAAAACCACATCCCTATTGGAGACAGACCATCAGAAACAAAAAAAAGTGTTTCGGACTGCGTCCACGCGTTGGTCGTTTTGTCTTCCACCGCGGAACTAGCTAGTGGTCGGTATCACATCGGGTGTTCAACCGCACATTTCTGTCAGTCTTTGCTTGACTTGTCCGGGGGAAATCGTCTACATCTCTTTAGGAGACGACGTCGTGTTCTCTCAACCTCAACAGGTGTCACGGCAAGCCTAACCGAGCTACTGGTCTTTTTTATTTCAAGACTTCGATGAACGGGAATCCACCGCCATAGTGGGGCCCTTCCGAGTCGTCATCGTTTTCCTGGTCGCATCGCTTCGTCGGTTTTGAGGAGGAAGCCTCTTGGGTACCTGTGTATCCGAAATATCTTGCCCGGGCTTTTCTGATTTTGCGCGGCGGGCTTCTCGTCGTAGGAGGGATAATTCTGAGCCGAGCCACAAGTCGTACCGGTGTGAGGGCTTACCCTAGGGCATCGAAGGTCAGATGCACCCGGATGTCCGACACCGATTCTATCGACACCATTCCGAGAGTGTTGATTCCTCATTAAAGTCCATTTCCTCGTTCGGATGGTACTGGTATTCCCTCTTCCAGCGCTCTGCATTCATTAGGAAGTCCTGAAGTCGGATCCGCCGACGGCATCCCTCATGAGGGCACTTGACCGGGCTACTGCCTTCCGGAGTCAGGGCGGGATATTGTTGTTCGGGCAAGCACAAAACAGGGTGTAATGGTTGTGATGGTGGCCAAGCCGGGCGACAAAAATTAGCGGTAGGGCCGTCATCGGGCCTTCTCCTTGGGCTTGTGGTTCGATTGCCCGATGTATTCGGGCAAGTCCTGGGCAGCTCTGGCCGCCGTGACTATCGTGGCACTTGTGTCTCGGTAAGTGATAACTGTACCGCCCATTCCGTGTGATCCGTGATTTCCCGTTCACCAGAGTATTTCGGAAGCTGGCCCGGTTAGGACCAGTCGGGTCTTTCTATCAGTTAGGACCTCTCGATTCCTGGTGGCCATTGGTATATTACGCCTCCGCTCATATGATAATACTCTATTAGCCGGGACTTTTGGTCCAGCTAATTTTTATAAAGTTCAATAATGAGTTTCCGGAGATGTGGGTCTCAGAGCTGCAGTCTGCAGTGTGAACCAATATCATCCGGTCACTCCATGCCGGGTTAATCGGGAGCTTCTTTGACGAGAGAAGACGATCGAAGCACCGAAGCAATGGTACCACTAGGACCGGATGTCGGCCGACGTTACGGACTACATGCGAACCTGAGCGCACTTACCGATTGCCTATTTCTTCCTTCTGGAATTGCGGCTTCCATACCAGACAGCTGTTTTAACACTCCCGCAATAGCGTTCATCTGTCTGCTTTTTTTTAGTAAAATTGTAAGCTCGGTAACGCGTTAGTCACAGTGGTAGTAGTTAATAAAAGATAGCGGATCAGCCTGTAACAAGTGTTCCCATGCCGAATCTTCAGGCCATCGTTTTGGCTAAAAGGTTACCGCGTTTGTGTGGAACGAGACAAAAATTTCGCCCAAGTGTGCCAGTCACGCGTGAACCACGGAATACCACAACCACGGGGCTAATTTACGGCTGTCCTTGTTTAGGTGTCGGACTTTGTAATCAAACTAAAGGCTCAGACGTCCGCAGGGCGATAGTCGGCTACATATGTACATTAGAGCAATCCTGCTGAGCTTTCGAGATCAGCCATGACAGTTAATTTCCGCTTTCAACCCTAATAAAGGCTGTGCGCCTGTCTGCCGATGCTCCAGTTCAGATCTTCCTGGTTAACACAAACTGTTAATGCATCCATGATTATCATTGCACAAATACAGATCTCCTTATTTGCTAACAACAAAAAAACGACACTGATTTTAGGCAGTATGGTGCCAAATTCCTGTAATACAAGTTGTTATACTAACACTGGGGGTAATAAAACTGCAGCACATTCAGCAGAAGCTTTCGTGAATTGAGAATTCAGTCTGATTGAAGTTGATAGAGTCCAGTTCAGTTGGATGTGGATTCGCAGCACAGTCCACCGGTAAATAGAGATTTTTCTGCACATACCATTCACTCATAAATTTCTCGGTATATTCGCTATACACACTAAACAGTTCCCCGACGTTAATGAAATCGGCCCTCTTGATTATCGCAGTATTGTTATTATTCCACCATTTTCGAAACCACACCCAGTCGCAGTCACAATGCAGCCGGTACAGATAATCACTCCATTCCTTACTGAAAACGACATTGTTTTCCGCATTACTTACATAATCCAGCGAGAGTAGACGCAGCGCCGGCAAATTGGTGAATGTGTTTTCTTGCAGCGTTACGATTGTTGAATTACCGAACGTGATTACTTTCAGACTGCAGGAATGCTGAAAATCATGCTTTCGTATGAGCAAATTTGAGCAGTTATACAAGCTGTACTGCAACAGGTTGCTAAGACGCAGATCATTAAGTTTGCCGGTTGATCGAGGGCTCATACATTCGCGCAGATAGTATACGAGGATCTGCTTGCGGATGGGCTTGATATCGGTGGGCATCACCGTCACCGCGTCAAACACCTCGATCCCGGAAGGTCGCAAGGGGAGATTAGCCATGATGGTTGCGGTCCGCTTTAGCTCCATCGACATCTTCTCAGCGGTGCATTTTACGTCAAAATCGATATCATCGAGGATTACGCATTTGTTGAAGGGAACCAACAATGGCCAACATTTTATTGATGAATACAACTCACATTCGGCGTTCGTCATTGGTTCAGAGGAGAACTTGGGCAACGGTTGTTCGCCTTTGGCACATTCTGAGTGTCCTTCGGGCTCCAGTTTCTCTGCAGCAAGAAGGTTTACGCATTAAGTATCCCTAATTGAGACGTCATTGTTAAGATTTTGGTGCTAATTTATTAACGACTCGCAGACCCCGCGCAAATTGCGCGAAATGATTAACGCAATGGACAAATCGTAACCTAGTGCAAAAATTAAAACCCATCACCGCAGCCTGCGGGTAAAGTATAGGTTTTATGGACGAAGCATACAATTCTGCATTATACTGGTACAGTACCAGAGTTTGCAGATAACGCTAATGTCTGCTTTTCTCGAACACCACCTTGCCTTATCCAATGAAAACGAAAGCGTAGCACAGTTGCCCTAAATCGCAGGCATCTCTGCAAGAAAGGCAATCGCGCCCTCCCAATCGGGGCAATCGGGAAGGCAAACGGGAAGGCAAACGGGAAGGCACTTACTGGTAGTTTAGCGAAAACAAAATGCACCAGTGCGGGGGTCATGCTCGTTCCCAAAATCAGACTTTTGAACCCACAGTCGCACAATCTTGCTTTCTTTCTTTTAAGTTATTTTATTTATTTTTATGGGTTCTTAGCTGTTCCCAGAGATTTTTTATATTAAAGTTTTTAAGCGTTTTCTTTTTGCAAAACTTCGTTTTTGTCTTTAGAACCTAATTTGTCATGGCCGAATGAAACATATCGAATGATACATAGTCACGGCAGTTCGGATCAGTGCGTTGAGCTGACGGACTAAACAAAGATAAAGGCTTACGCGATTATTATAGCATTGAGTTGATGTAGCGTATGGGTTTGCATTCACATCTCATATTGGCTTATAAAGTTATTGGGAAGTATGAAGCGATTTATTATCAAGGGTCAACTAAATTTGGGTCAGACATATAAAACATCATTCTTGTCGCAAGGCGTTAAAGCTTTTGCGTTGAATATTCCGAAGCGATGCTGTGTAACATCTTGTATAGATATTCAATTCGATTCTTTTCGAAATTAATATTTTTTATCCGCTTCCCAAATCCCACCCGGACTGCATTTCGAGCGAAAACTCCATAGCACGTACTGCAATCTTAGCAGCTTAGAATTTGCACCCCGACGAAACGTCCGGTTGCACATTTTACTAGCGGTAACTTCAGGATGCCCAAAATTCAAAGGAAAGGATATCTCGTTTTAAAATTTACCTGTTACAAATCTGCAGTGCATACAGCTAATGCGCACAAAATTCATACGGTATGTAAGAGTATTAGATCTACTCTTCTTACTTGTTTCAGTTTCAGCAGCATAAATCCAGATGCATGTGAACGCAGATACCGTAAAATAAGCGAAATAACATCGAAAACCGAGCATTTTACACCTTCAACGTGGCTCGTTTTGAAAGAAATAATTCATTTACACTTCGAACACGGTCCCTGAGAGGGTTTCTGATGCCGCCATCATGTTACACCGAAGACTTCAGTTTAGCACCGCCACATCTGTGTTCTCGCTTGTGATGTAACTGTGCTATACGTACGAGTAGTATCCGGATCCAACGTGATCGGTTATTTTATCCGGGGGGTCTGAATTTGTGGAACTAGGACATTATCTACGGGTCTCAGTTTTTTGACCTGGGGTATTATTTACGGGTCTAAAGTTCTGGAACTTATTAATTTGCCGATTTTTTGGAGGATATTAATTTGCCGATGATAATATTATGATAATTGTAATAGATGCGCTTATAAAAAAGCAGCAGTTTATCGAATGATCAGTCAAAGTCGTAACGGTTTCTCAAATGTGAACAAAGCTCGGTTCTCTGCTATTGGCAGATTAACGCTTTTCAGCGCGTTCGGTGAACGGTGAACCATCATATAAGTAACTATTAATAATTTTTGTTTTTGATACTGAGTTTGTATCCGATTCCGAAATTTATTAAAAGTTATTCAATTTCTGTATAACTGCCATAATAAAAGATTCCTAAAGACACCGTGGAATGCGAAGTAAAACAGGCAAATATGAAATGAAGTGATAAAACACGTAACTGCAAAATCAGGAAATGGTGAAACCGAAAAATCGCAAATAGTGACATGCGGAGGAAATCAGCACACCGCCACCACCGTTGGATGGAATTTCCACGATCATCTCAGCGCTTGCAGCCGTCCCATCAGCAATTAGCTATTAAGGCTACTCTTCCCTAATTCTTTTTATCGCTGCCATTGTTGATCCTAATTATAATTCTCTATCAACGCGCTTGTGCAAGCACTCAAAATATCAGCTAGCTAGAATAAATAAAAATAACTCTTCCAGCTCTTTAGAACAAGCAACAGTAGCCAAACGGAAGCCATCAATTAATCCCGCAGGCATCCAGAAGGGCAAAACGTACCTACTGGATGAAGATCAGTGACCAGCTGAAAGACCCATCGGCTGCTGGCACGAGCTGACCGGATCGGCCACGCACCAGCACTGATACCGCCGTCATGACCTTTATGTCCTGGAGCCGCGAGCAACAACCGACCGACGGAGTAGGCATACGCGTCCGTTTTAATGGCCCAAATATGCGGAAAGCACTGTGCAGACCGTTAGAGACAACGGAGATTTTGGAGGCTTTGGCCGGATGATTGTCCGGCTGAACAATTTCACATGCCCGGTACTGGCAGAGGTCACCGAGAAAATGCTCTGGACCGGCAGGAAAATGTTCTGCACTGTCGCCAACATAGCAGCTGCAGACCAGTGATCCTGTAGAATGACAGTAGCTTGTTACTAATAAACTATTTTGAATGCTGTTTTATATGACTGTGCAAATTGGTTTGACGAATTCTACTTCTGCGGCACACCGGACTACCTGGCCCCGATAAGTATTGCGGGCCAACATGCAACAAGAAGCCGGCACTAACGGGAAGTCGGTCGGCCTGCGGGGCCATCTTGTGCTCGCTGCTGGCCGGTGATGTGCGCCGCGCATGGCACCGCGCGGGCGGAGGATTATGCTGATCCACATTATCGAGGGTACACTACATTCGATACTGCTGCTCCGCTCCGCTTCATTTTAAAGTACTCCAGTGCAGAAGCTGTAATTTTATGTATAATTAAGAAATCATCTACATGCAGGTGCACAGTCTGCACTTACAGTTAGAGTAGCAATTACTTTACGTATCGATCCGCATTCTGCATGCAAATTCACAGTGACATTAACAAATTAACATATCTGTTTACCATTAACAGTGCCTGTAATGGGACGACAAGCGCTGGATGTGATGTGTTTCCGGCTGTCCGTCGGGTGGCGGATAATGACGCTGTAGCGCTCAATGGCCATCAAAGCGATTAAAATCCAACTGAAGCGCTTCAGTTGGATATTAAACGCTTCAACTGGATGTCAAACGCTCTAATCGGATTGACACATCCAACCACGAATTGACATATTTAATCGAACTGACACATCCAAGCAGAAATCGATACCTGCGACCCAACGAAAAACCATTAAATAAAACAGAAAAATTAATTAAAAGTTACACGATTGTAACCGTCCGGACGTCTAAGACGTCCGGCAGACGTTGCGTGCATACTGTAATATCGACGCTTCCCGAAGAAGCATCTGGTGCGCGGAACGCGACACATACAACTTCAGATCAAAACTGTCGGTTTTCTTCGAAGTCTACCAATGCAAAAGGACCACGCGTTGTTCTTAAGTGGCCGAATTGACTGGACGCTGGTTCAAGATGTACCAAAATGCCAGCAGTTAATTTGATAAGGACGATAATTGCTGGAACTGCAGCACTCTACTGGATTTCCAGTTTTACTGAAAGCATTTGCATTTGTTTGAGCATGACATTTAAGCGAAACATGCGGATAAAAAAAAACACGCGAATGACCATATTCGTTACCAAATCTCCAACGCGAGCGACTGACCATCGTTTGTCTATGGTCAGCAGGAAGCAAAAATGGTGGTTCGTGCTAGATTATGCTGATCCGTTGACGCAAGAGCTCTAGTGTTCTGGTTCGCCTGATTGCTGCCGGATCCTCTTTCCTAGCCCGTCAATCAGCCGGATGGCTGCTGGTGATGGCTTCTGGTCCAATTGCTCCGTAAGTCTCGAAGCCCCGCGGCGAGAACCAGTAAACCTGGGTGATGTTGCGGTATTTCTCGGTCTTGTTCCGCCCGCCGAACGCAGGTGCTGCTGCTCCGTCTCTGGCTTCGATGTACGACAAGGCCATGGTTCTGCGGGAAATTACATCGATAAACAATACTTCTATACACGAAACTCCGTACCGAGAGTGTTCAGGGTCGAGAGGTTCCACTGTACGCGTTTTCATTACAACTGCGACAGATCGTTCCTCTCTCTGACTATCCACTACGTTGCGATTTCAAGAGCTCAACTGATACAGCTCTAGTCTAAGAACCGTGAATATTTTGTTTAACTTTGTATACTCACTATAATTTTATGTAGTATTCGGACTAACGCCGTAACCATAAGTTCTGACTGTTCTGCTGCAAGTACTATGAAGAGCACGGCCAAGCAGCTGTGCGTACTGTGGGATTTATTCCTCGACAAAAAATTCACTACTAGCAAGTAATTGTCCCTACATAATAAACACGATGCTCGGCGCTAAGAAAGCATCTAATACACTCCAGTTATCTGTACCTTTGCGCACGCCATAAATCTCCGGGTACTCCATAGTTGTGAGTGGAATTAATTCAGCGGAATGCTGTCATGCCCGCGGAATACGGTTTGGGTCGCTGTTACATCGGATCATTTGCAAGGTACGAAACGGTCTTCGCTCCACAATCCAACGGTGTCCTCAGGCACGACAACGACGGCACAAACTGTGGTGTATCTAGATTCGCGTGTTTCTTGCCCTTTTTGTACCCTCTATATTAATTTTCTGTTCTTTGTCCTTCGTCTTAGCAACTTTCTATGCTTCTCCTGTTCTCTGGTTACGGTTCTTGAAGTTCCCATGACATTCAGTCAGTTCTCTGCTCAGGTGCGATACACATTAAAGTGCTACGATACGAGTCCATATCATACGCTACGGTATACATACTGATACTACCGATTCTCACACAAACAACGGCAATGATTGCTGTATTAACTAATTTGCCTCGATAGCAAAGAAACATCTAAAGATGCGAATGCTTGAACAGCAGCAAAATGGAATTTCAGAACTGCAGAATTGCACCAAGCGCCAAGTGTTAACTAAAAAAATGACTACCGCGGTTAATCACGTAACCGCCGGCCGATGCTGCCGTTCAGCTAGTCGAGTCGACTTCCGCTTCCGGTGAGCTACACAGGTAAAGTCATTCGTCTCTTATAATTATCCGCGTTTGACACAATTTGCAGCAGTGGTGTCTGGCTGCAACCGTGATAATTAAAATTGGAATAACGATATGAGTTTTTTATTGCACGCGTTAGTGTACGTTTTGGCTTATAACAAACCGGTTTGTGAAGTCTGCTCAACCGTTGCGTTGGATAAGAGCCGTTTAGGCCAACTGCCGTTCCTCGGCTACAAAAAAACCTAACTTGGACCGCCCAACTTGGTTTTGGGATTCTTAACTTTTCTTATATGATACTTGAAACCTACCCTTAGGAACTTCACACGAAGCATAAGAAAAGCCCGGCACAATCAGCCAAACGATTATCAGCCAAACGTATTTGTTTGGTGCAACTTTGCCCGTGATGTCTCATCGGTCCTAACTTCCGCCAGGACTCTAAACACCCCAGAAAATTGTGAGTATCAACGCAGGCAAATCTCGTTTACTATTCTGCACGCATTGCGAGTATTTTTAATGAGGGTATTCTTTCGTAAATCCTATAATTGTATCCCGTTACTTTCATAGCTTTCCTATGTTTTCTTATGTATAAAAGATAACAGTATAACAGATATACAAGTACTTCATAGTATAGAAGATAACAGTATAACAGAAGTACTCCTAATGCGCTCCTTTCATGTTGGATCCGTTTCCTAATGTGTGTCCAATAAAATCCAGTGCAGTTTCCTTTCTAGCATAGATCTGTGTTTCGCTTTTAACACAGGTCTCCTAGCTGCACTGTTTTACATTGAAAGTAAAAGGAAGGAAAATGAAACGCAAATTTAGGAGAAATTGGCCGGTTGATGGATGTGGTAGCTGGTGTAAGGATTTCGCAAACAGATTTCTTTTTTTTAAATCTGATTTGATCTGCTGTTCATCATACAGACACTTGCGTAGTGGAACACAAACGCACAGCTGAAAAGCGCACTCGGACTGGTTTACAGACTTCACCATTATGTATTTGGAGAGATTCGGGTGCCAGGGTAGGAGCTGGGAGGTGGAAAACAGATGGTGTCGAAACAAAAATTCCGATGGAGAACCAAGATCTTGGTTTTCCGTCTGAATGTTGTTTCTCAAGCGAATCACGGAAAGAATAGATTCGCAAGAGAATATAGAAAACGAGTTTCAAAGAATGTGAATAGGTCAGGAAAAGGTCAAGGTCCGTTTGTTGGCGTTCAGCGGCGATCTATGATCACGCCGGCACCGGCTTCCGGTGACGCAGTGGATGTGGAAAGCAGGGAGTGGTGGAATGGACTTGGCGACCAACAAGTCCACTGGACGCTTCTTGCTAGTCGCCGAATCTGTTCCACACCGATTCCACCCAATCGCAGATGCGGCCAGATCTTGGTGGGGATTCTATGGGCGCTTTGAGTACGGCATGGATGACGAGGGTCGCGGCAGCTCGGCGATGAAGATCGACAGCGTGTCGTGGAAATACGAATGCTGCATTTTCGCGCGAAGCTAACGTGCAAAAATCTGCAAAGCTTTCATAAAAATGGTTAAAAATCATGGCAATTTTCATTAAGGTCGTAAAACTAACATGCTCATCGGGAATTTGTGCCAGTTGTTTGGAAAGAAGGCGGCCCACTCTGGCACTCGATTTTCCCGCCCCGAGCAGGGGATTGTTTTCGGTAAAAAAGTTGAAAGAGGGAAAAAGCGGGTGCGGACCATTATCCGTGTTTTTCAAGGCCCATAATAAACACGGGAGGACCGCCAGGACCGCGAGACATCCAGTTCACCTGACACGCCAAAACAGTACGGTAGCTCACTTGAATCCATGCACGCTGAGTCCCTTGGAAGCAAGTTGCCTGTGTCCAGAAGGACCTCAGCGTGGATTCTGAGACAAGGCTGTCCGGGATGCAACCGGCCAAGCAGACAACCACGGCAGCTGACACGAGAAGATGACTCATTCTCCCACGATTGAACAGAAAAATTTTCTGTTCAATCGTGGGAGAATGGGTCATCGTCATTCGTATTTAATACGAATGATGTTACAGAAACAATGCCGACAGGTTCACTGCTTTAACAATCATAATCCACTTGCTGGGCTGAGGATTTCTCCAATGGAACGCTCCGGAACTGATAATTATCGGATGCAGTATTACTTAGAGTTAGAGGTAGTTTTTGCGATTTCTCTCAGACCGCTGCAGATAAGCATTGGTTTGCACTCCACACGCGATAAAATTGGCAAACGGTCTGAGTGAGATCCAGTCTGGTCTCTGCAAGTGCAGACTGTCTTCTGCAACGCTCGGCATCCCTGGCCAAATCGCTGTTTTTATTCGGTAGGTACTGGTCGTCGGTGTCCTCCCCGCTCCCTTTCAAAAGACACAGGAGCGGGTAAGTCGCTCGGACTGGTCTAAATGCATACTCGTATGGTCTGATTGTATAGCCGCAGCCTTTCAGTAGAAGAGCGGTTCACAGGCAGAACCAGTATATATCGGTAGTTACATATCGGGAGGCTGAACAAAATGGCGGGCTCTGCTTTTAGTTTGTTTCTCGCAGACCGCTTGCCGCACCGTGAACTGGTTAGATTCGTTGAACAGACAATTGTATCAGCTACTAAAAACAATAAAACGTTTTTTGAGTTAACTGTGAATTCCTTAATCTGTGGACGTTGTTCCCTGTTGCAACATCGTATCATTCGTATGTCTTTCCTGTCCAATCGTGGGAGAATGAGTCGCCTTCTCGTCGTGGCAATCTGTGTGGCCAGCTGCATCGCGGGCAGTCTCGCCTTTGCCCAGACGCCGAAGGGAGCCGTGGATACACGTGAGTCACTGTAGATACAGTTTCAGCAAGTCATAAGAACTGGCGAGTCAACCCGCTCCTGCATCGCAGGATCGTGTGCCTGTCGTTTGCGGCACAGTTGTTTTCGTATGGTGACGCATGCATCATTTCCCAGACCGCAATTCCGCTCATGGGACCCAATGTCGCCAGCGCCATAACGGACGCGGGATGTGCATCGGGACACCGGTGACGTGTCTGTGCGAGCCTAACATGGAATGATAACAGCACTTGTATTTCTGCAATGTCTTCAAAAGTTTACAGTTACGTGCAGGTCTTAGCACCGATTTTCATTTCAACCAGCAAGAACCGCTGATTTCAGCATTATTATTCTCAGTGATTTAAAAGCCTCTATAGATTTATATGGAGTATGTTATTCAGAGTTACTAAACGGCATGTAATAACAACGTCTGGGAAGTTCGCATAAAATCATTCATTCATTCGCTACATAATTTAGCTGTGGTGTTGTCAAACACCGACTAGAAAAACATAAAATTATAATCGATGTGCTGCGCTGCTCTTTCCGTGTAGTTACGTTTGCTTATCTGTGTATTTTTTGTTTCCGCCGGTAAGTTTTGTTTTGTAGCACAGGTACAGGGGATTTTAACGTACCCACGTTGTTACGCTGACCTGCACGCTGGAATGCTAGTAAATTAGACAGAATTGTGAAATAAAAGCTAACGATGTTACGCCGGTATATGCATAGCGGTCATTTGAAACTTGAAAGGCGACTATGTTTATGAGCTTTATTGGTAAACTTGTGTTTGTGCATGATGCGTTTTATTAGAGTTTGTTTAACTGCGTGCGCTTACGTGCAGAATTTTGAGAAGATCGGTCTATAGCAAGACTTTGGGTTAAACGTACACTTGACTACATTAACCTTCGAATTTTGATTTCCGATTTTTTTGTCGTAATTTCCGCCAATTTATTAATTAAGAACTGTCGATCACGTAATCAGCAAATTTTGATTTATGATGGCTTTTAAAATTCGCAGAATGAGAAAATTAAAAAAACCGAATCTGGTGAGCCAAACTACGCCATTTTACATTTATATTTTGCTAAGCGCTTTTAAGTTTTGTCACAAATATAGCCAAGAACTGATACTAATTTCTATGAGATAGCTTTTTCTGTTTTTTTTTACCACAATTATTGTGGTAAGAGGATGTGTTGGATCATAAATTAGCGGAGATATCGCTGATTACAAATCTTTTTCTGTAATAGGTAATATTAAGTCAGTATTACAACACGAGTACTTTTAAAAAAAGCTTCGGAAACACTCATTAAGCATCAATCGACAGCGGCGGCCTAATCACAGAGAACATTTGGTCTAAATTCGCTCCCATCGGCGCCGTCCCCATGATCGATGCCGCATTTCCTCGCTGTATTTCGATACTGATCCGTTGGCAAAGATATTCCGTGGCTCGTTTTTCGCCGGTTTCCTGACGTATTTTCTGTCTGAATTCCGTTATTGCTCGGACAGTTTCCGGTCCGGACGGTCCGAGCGTCTCAAAGCCCAGAGCACGGAATAGGTAGTCCTGGCCGATATCGCGATATTTCTCGATCGCCGATTTCATTAATTCAATTTGCGTACGAACTTTGGTAGTGTGTGTTGTCATGTGCACATCGTTGTAACATTTCTGTATCGTATCACATTTTGTAAATCTTGCAGAACTTTACATCACGGAAAACTGCATTTTTGCGCACACATTCTATTGGCTAGTTTATCTTACCGGAAACGTGTTAATCACAGAAATAAAGGATGTGCATAACAGCGTACAGATAATATGTGCATGCGACAACTCCTGATATTTTCGGACGGCATTATATGCAACCGAAATACACACGAGTACCTGTTCGTGTGATATAGATTTTATTTCTCAATATGTACAAAGGCGAGCTTCGCTCAACAAAATTATTTATGATCAAATGAAGAACTTGTCCCAATTAACATGGGAAGGGACTGTGCACAATACACTCAAAGCATTACCACGCATAATCTCCAAACTTAAACGTTGAAACAAAAAACAAGTCGAGCGCCTCTTGCCCGTTCTCAAATGTTCGTGTGTGTAACTGTGTATTGCAGCTGTCTTAAAGTTTCACTGCATGTACCAACAACGTACTGGTTTCTGAACCTAGATCGTAGAAAAATTTGAAGGTGGACAGTCACTATAAATCGAAATGGAGATATATGGTTATATCACTTATATGTACAGAGTACAACCTGTAGTTTTAATAACCCGACTTGTACATCCAGCCTAGCCGTGACGGACTCACGGACAGCCGGGAACTACAACATGAAGCACGGGAAGAGAGCGGGATATTAACGGATAAGTTAGCTATAACATCAATTATAAACCATGCGTCAACCGCCGAGGGAGACGGAATACGGGACGACGGCCGGATATAAACGGAAAAGCAATTAAACAAGCTCTAACAAGTACATTTATTCGGACTCGGCCAGCATACATAACAATTCTCCTGCGCAGGTTTACACTAATTAAAAGCATCAAAATTTTAAACATTAAAAAAACATCCAGAGTCGCTAGGGTCACGCATGATCAAGACGTGCGTTAAGTGTACCCAAAACAGCCGCTGCATTTCCACGGACTACCGCTAGACTGAAACGTTGTCTTAAAAAGGCGGTAGACCGAGGTTCTCCGGTAACTTCACGAATCTTTCTGCCGACGAAACGGATCAGCTATAACATGAATTCAGAACGGAGCTTCAAGGGCCGAAGTGCAGTAAGAAGGTTCACAGTCTAACGACGTGCAAAGGCCACAATGCCCAACTTCCGTCTTCTGTCTGTCCTAGCTTGCAGTTGGCAAATAATTTTGGCATCACTTAGAAGTGAAACAACAACAGGCCCCCTCACTGGACACGCTTAAAGTGATTCGAAGTGCGCGAAAGCGAAAGTTTTAGCGTATTATGCGTATGTATACCATTTTTGACGCTATGTGCCGCGGCCTTTTCCTTATGTAAAAAACGTCCTCTACTTCACATGCGATCGCAAATTGTGAGCTGAAAACGCAACGAACTTAAAGTTACAGAACACTTTAAGGTGTGCTGCAAGAGGAACTAGAAACTTGCCGAAACGAAAACTAGCCAACCAGTTCTTTCGGTTTCCTCAACGGTTCCTAGAACGCAAGCAGCATTGCCACGCTGCATTTCAGTGCTAGACGATAGGAAAGTGGCGCCCGACAGAGTGTGGGTGTGGCCAACCCAAAAGGACGTCTGGAGCACCCCCGGAAACGATCAGATGGCGGCGTAGCAGGGAACTATGCTGTTTTGACATCTCTTGTACCACAAGATATCGATTATTTTCATCTCGCTTTATTTATTTCTAATGCGTCGTCTTTATGCGTTACAATGCTGGCGCTTAGAGAGCAGCTGATAGTAATACTCTCCAGCTATCGCAATGAAAAACTCGGTTCTACAATGAATTATTTTGGTAACAAATTCGACTGACAAAACATTCGATTTTACGATAAGTGTTCGTATGTGTAAGTTTAGCTGCAGAGAACAGTCTGCAGCTGCCAGCAGCAAACGGAGAAAGTATTCACGTAACCGCCGGCCGATGGTAGCGTTCGCGTGGGCTTAGTCGACTTCCGTTTCCGGTGATTATTTGTAGTTCTTCTCGTGCAGTTACATATGTGCTGTAAATTGTTTCGACTTGTTACGCAGGTTTTTTGCATTCTGACTGGTTCTTTGCGCTGTTTATACAATTTTTATGGTGCAGCTGTGATTTCAGACCTTGTGGTTCTTCTTTATCTACAAAGGTTTGCAGACTGCGGGAAATATCCGTGATGCTTAGGAAATCCGTGCTGAAACGAGGTCTCCGCTGATTAACTGGGAATTTGTCGGGACGTACGATGGTAATATTTTCCTTAACGACCACATCAAGCTGGACGAAAGGTGGTGCATCCGGGAACGCAAGAGGATCACAAGCGGCCGCTAGAGAATATATCCAAAATCCCAACGCGTCAGCATTCGTGGCGTCCCGCGATGAACAGGCGCTAGCGACATTCAACACATCCAGCAGAACATATCTTCCTTGCCACGAGGCACTTTTTAAAGCCAGGGCGCGCATGTTTTGTTCGCCCTTTTCTCCGTCAGTTGGGCAGCTCGGCGCCCATTCAGCCGCTGGTATGGACGTTGCAGTGGATAGTGGAAAAGCCTTGAGCCAGCGTTGTTAGCATACGAAGCGTTAATAGGGATCCAGCTGCGGAGTACTCCGAGGGTTTGTTTGCTCAGTACAGAACCTACAATCAGTTTAATGTCGTTGCAACACGTACAATAAATTCTCAATATAGTGTTCTATAGTGCTCGTGCGGTCGTGCTACCCAGAACGTAGCCTGAAAACTTCCATCGATAATGGAAGCAACTCCGCTGCAGCACTTGCAGGTACGTAGTTTGGTACAGTTATGAATTTTGCGTGTTTTGGACGTTTGGTGATGTGCTATACACCGTGCTCTTTGAAGTGTCAGAAAATGTGATTTTAAAAGAAGGTTGAATAACCAGCTAGACGGTTAACAGGTAGTCCGATATATTGGTACAGTAAAATGAGTAAATCATTAATAATTTAATTGTATTAATGATACTTTAGAGCGCTCCTTCGCTTCAGCCGATATTGAAACGGAACTGAAGCTACCTGGTGTTTCCCGAACCCAGGACACGGGCACCGACACACCAGTCATGATGGCATGTTCCGTGCAGTAGTGTGGAAACACTTGAGACCTTGAGGACCGGATGCTTCGCGCTGGGTCGCCGAACTCGGGAGGATGATGCGTCAGGAAACAGGCGAGATACAGGCGACGGGGTATCTGCACCAGCGGATCAGCATCGAAGTCCAACGCGGGAACGCGGATGACCCTTGCCAGTAAGTTTTTGTACATATGTATTAGACTTACAATAAGGGAGTATTTTTAATCGGTTGTTTACATAAGTATACTTTGGCGAAATCGAAAATCACGCAGTAAATCACTTCAGTACGTAATACACTTCGTCCAACCTCTTACCGATACAGAACGTTTCCTGTACACAAGCAGCGTTGCCTCGCATTAAAGCAACACTGATTCTCTGCTTCAGAAACTGAGTGGACCGTTTCTCCTGTGTCCTCTCGAAAAGCATCTTACCGAGTGTAGACATCTTATATTTCGATTCTTTGCCCCACATGCCCATTGTTTCGAAAACCAAAGCAGAGAAATTGAAATTATCGCGTAAAAATCCGTGCTTTTGGTTTTTCTTTGCCTCTGCCATGCTGGCGGCTGAGCCTGCTTCTTCGGACGTCTTCGCGATATAGGTGATGGCCATGGTATCCGGGCAGGTGACATCCCAAACCCATGGCTTTCCGTGACTGAAGGGGACCGATGTCATGCCGTCCGGTCTTTTATTGACATCGCGATACAGACCGGGTGGTTCCAGAACTGATGGGATACAGGCGGAACCACAGGCTCGGTGAATTACATCTCTGATTTCGTTGTGCCGGGAGATTTTCGCTTTGAGACGCTTGCGCCCTATCCCGTGATAAGGGAGTAAGTAAAATGGAACGATTGACTACGAATACTTTCTCTACTGAGATTATAAGGAACAGACCTGGGCAGTTACGGAAAATGCACCCACCGTTAGAGTTACAAGCGAGGGATTCACGCTACCAGTTCCGCTATTCATGCATGTAAAACCGAGTTTTGAATTTGATTACGCTACCATAGACAGTTTACACAAATTGTAGGCAAAGTTTCGTTAGGGTTAAGTTTTTTGGGTAGCGAGTTACGCTTCAGAGTTACGTTAACACTCGATAACTCGCAAATAACTCGCGTTCACTTATAACTGACCAGGTCTCCAAGGAACTCTTTATTAACTGTTCATAATTACCTGTGCAACGAACCGGTGCCTGGTCTGAGCCTCGAGAGAATTATTTCTATTTGCTGACGAAATCAGCCAAGTTGTTGAGCCGTCCAGTGGTCTTCTGCTAAGACTGCTATGGTATTCACCGTTGTTTGCTCGCTGCCCCAGTGAAGCGCGGCGCAGCTCTAATTGGTAGCAAATGCACAAACAAATGCCTGGAATTACGCCTAATAATGAAAGCAGAACCAAGAACCGCCAACTAGGCTTCAACCAGCCGTTGAGTGTTGCGGCTTTTCGCGAGAGCAGAAAAAGCAAAAACTTGTGCGACCTGAAAGCGTATTGCGTATGCCATTATAAAATGACAACTGCAGCGCATTACCGCCCGCAGCGCTTGGTTGTTGTACCACTCAGTTGAATCTTGTGTAGATCAGCGTTTCCGGCAGTTCGACGGCTTTGGATTGGCAGCGAGTCCATCAGCCATCGGATGGACAGTGCTTGTTGTCTGGGATACATTCGGGACATGAACGGTGACAACGTGTTGGTGGACTTTGACTCCTTCACAGCGCCACCGCCAATTCCCCACCAATGTCCGTGTGAGCTGTACGGGTGACCTACCAGTTACCGCCGTGGCATGTGACATAAACAGGCAGCCGTGCCACCGGTACTTTGGGCGGCGACGCTACAGGACGACGCTGAGACCATGCAACAATTCATTTTGATTTTAACTAGGTACATGTCACAGGGTACCAAATTCGTGTACGCACACGAAAACTTACCCTTTCGCCCACTCTAAAACAGTTTTTTCGCAGCGTTTTATGACATTCCGCTGCTAGATGATCTGTATACATTGGCGTGAAAACAGTTTGTGGGGTTGTAACGTCGGGTTGTGGATTATGACTGTTAGAAAATTCCAAAAAATCAGAGCACGTTGAACTGTACAAACAGTGTAATTATGGACCACTCTTCTACAAATTTTGCATGGATGTACATATAAGCATACTTATACAGCTCGTTAACCCGATCCAATGCTTTAACACGTTCTCCAGATTTTAAAATGTACCCCGAAAATTTTATAATTTATTTAAAAGTTATTAAAAAAATGAGGAAAATATGGTTCGGTGTAAAAACGATCCCCATTTGTACATGCATTTACGGGTAACGTCTGTATAAGATTGGTTCGTAATCAAAACTTCGATACACCTGAAATTGGTCCTGAATGCATTTAAAGGTTTTGGAGATTTCTCATTACTCCGCAGTCGGCTGCTACGCGCCCAAGCGGATTTCACGCCAAAGTATACAAATCATTTGGCTACAAGAATGTCGTGAAACGTTGAGGAAAATATTTGGGAGGGAGCGAAATGGAAAGTTTTCGTACATGCACGCGCATTTGATACCATTTACCGGGGTACGAAATGCGCGTGCACCTGTACATTTTATTTATTTGGTACTTGTGCATTTTATTTTAAAGGGTCACTTCCCTTAAGGGAAATGGCCCGATATATATACATGGCGTCACCGGTGGGATATATACTATAATATACACTAAAGCTTTTACTTTTGCGCAATTTTGCGGAAAATCTTACGAAATGGCTACGCGTAAGAGCCTCCCGCGCTACAAGTTTTGGCTATATCTCGCGCGAGACGGCGAGAGTATCTCGCGCTTTGAGTATGGGCTACGCGCGAGTTTTTCCCGGCACAATAAAACTACTAACAAAAAGCCGAATTCAGTGTATTTATCACGTCATGGCAGCTAATGATTAAGGTCACCTATTAATGAAAGTAATACAAGATCGGACAGTCCCGGCATTGTACATTTTCTAAATAGGAAATTCGAAATTTCGCCACTCTCAGCCGCTATGGCGTCAGAACTTATAAAGTTTGAAGTAGATATGAGTTTCGAGAGCGGCCGAGCAATCGAGAGAGCGAACACATCCAGTCTTTGTAAATCGTGGCGACAATGCCCAAACGTCGAAGTCGAAGTATTAGCCGGACAAAATTAATGCATAAAGGTTACAGTTAAGGAATTGTGGTCGTGGGATACCTGCACAGGGGCCACAGGTGTGGGTTAGCCCAGTCAGTTGCTGCCCTGCGAATGGGTCGCTGATTTTTTTCAGTTCTACGTACCTCTGCTTGTGCTAATGTACCTCACGAAGCACAAGGCTACCAGATCCAACAGATTTTCATAAAGCATGCCGGGCTTCTTCTTCACCAAAATATTGGTTCTGCATGTGAACCGCTCCTCCACTGAAAGCCTGCGGCTACACTCAGACCATACGAGTATGACTATGCACTGAGACCAGCCCGAGCGATTTTGCCCTCTCTTGTGTCTTTTGATAGGGAGTAGAGAGGACAGCCGACGACCAGTAGCCACCGGTTGAAAATGGCGTTGTTGAGGAGAGTCTGCCGACCAGACTGGATCTCACTCAAACCATTTGCCATTTTTATTGCGTTTGGAGTGCGAAGCTATGCTGATCTGCAGCGGTCTGATTGAAATCGCAAGAAACTACCTCTACTAATACTGCATCCGATAATTATAATTCCAGAACGTTTCAATGAGAAAATCCTAGAGTAACCCAGGAAGTGGATTGCGATTGTTAAAGCAGTGAACCTGTCGACGTTGTTTGTTGTACGATCATCCTTATGTCCTCACCAATCGTGGGAGAATGAGTCACCTTCTGGTGGTAGCTGCCGTGGCTGTCTGCTTGGCCAGCTTTATTCCGAACAGTCTCGCCTGTGTCTGGACGCCGAAGAGAGCCCAGAAGCAGAAGGAACCCGTGGATACAAGTGAGTTACTGTTACTAACCAGACGAAGGGGAAGTCTCCCAGCTCCTGGTACCTCTTCTGTGTTTTTATTACGGGTCTCGAAAAACACGGATAATGGTCCACACCCGCTTTTTAACCGGAAGCGCTAGCTCCAGCTTCTTTACCGAAAGAAATCCCTTGCTCGGCGCGGGAAAAGAGAGTCTCGGAGTGGGCCCGCTTTTTAAACAACTTATATCAATTTCACAATGAGAATTATCATTTTTACGACCACGATAAAAACTGCCATTACTTTTATCAGAGAAAAGAAAGAGGCAGTTCTAATTCTTTTTATTCCTTTTTCGCCAATATCCTCAATAATCAATTTTCTACAGCAACCATTGGCTTTTTTTCCTCGTTTTTAGAAATGAGGTAATTCCTGTATTGATATGACTAGACTATGTATGTAGTACTCTGTACGTACAATTGGTCAGTGCGTCTCCGAGTTGCTTAAGGATATGCGGCTGCAACCTGTTGCGTTGTTCGTTGATTTCGCTTAGCCATATTATGTAGTTCTCTCTTTAGTGGACGAGATTCTGAACGAAGCGAAGAAGCGCAACAGCAACGGCACGATGCATTTGCGGCGATTCGGGCGAGGTCCCTCGGTGGCGGGCTATCCAAACACGGAATGGCCGCCGCAGACGGAGCTGATTCAAGCGCCCGAAGGCGGCACGCTCTTCCTTCCTTGCAACAACACGAACAGGCTGGTATGTTCATGTACAACCTACGAGACATTAGGACATTACCACCAGTCTTTGTGTTCTGGTTGACGCTGCAGGTGTTCTTCTGACGTATGACCACGTATGTACACTCACCGGCATTAAAATTACTCACAGGTTCCCCACACCAATATTCCACCGGCGTGCACACGCAATGGACTCTTGCTCACGCTCAATAATGCCCCAGTATTTCGACACGAGTTGAATCAAAGACATTCTTATTGTAACTGCACAAATAGAACAGGTACCCGGCAAGGACTTGGGTGGCACTCGGTCAGTGCGGGCAACTACGATCGGGACAGCGGGGCGTTTACCATCGCACTGGATAATTTCACCTACGCCCACAGCGGTCTGTACGAGTGCCTGCACTCCAACGGCAGCCAGCTGGTGGTGACGAAGCGGTATTATGTCAGCGCGACCCTCTTCCGCCCCAACGTCTTCCAACCGCCCATGCAGAACGTCACGGTCCGCCACGGCGACCCCGCGGCGATGGTCTGCGCGGTCCGCTTCAACTTCCTCCCCGGAAAACTGGCCACCCGCTTCCTGTGGCGCAGCGAACGCCACTGTATGATCGCCGAATCCATCGCGGAGGTCGCTAAAAAGGCCAAATTGTACTGGGGATTCTATGGAGGTTTTGATTTCAACGAAAATGACGACGGTGGCTGTAGCTCCACAATGACGATCCAGAGCGTCACGTGGCAAGATGCCGGGCGGTACGAGTGCTGGTTGCGTATCAACGATCGTCTCGACGAGTGGATCATGCAGGAAGCATATTTGCACGTCGTTTAATCACAGCCAGCGTTTGGCTAACGGTTCAACAATTGCGGGTACATCGCGTTTGGTTAGCATGTTTCGTTTCTTTGCAATGGTCGAGTGTTTTCGTTGGGGCAGTGTTATGTGCAACCCAAAAAAGCTTGTTCGGAAATTGTGATGCGACGCAACTCGGTGGGATCTGTGACGCATTCCTGTGACCTTTATGAATAATATGACATGATATGAATTATTGGGGTTGATTCGATCCGTGTCGAACTTGTGTTTCGTCGTTGTACACGGTTCAGTTAGAGAGACTCAATAAAATACCACTCATATTCATTCTTTTACGGTTTTCTCAGGTAATGATTAGAGATCGGTGATTACGTTGAGTTGGGTGTGTCTGACAGATTTGAAAGCTGTTTACGTAAGAAATAATCATAGATTAATTGCGATGCAACAGTTTATCTGGACTAAACACAATTTCGCGATTTCAGAAGATAAGATCTACGAACTCACGGAATCGAGCACTAAGTAAGATCGCAGTAAGTAATAAACAACATCTGGGCACAACTGCAGCAACAAAATCACTTTTTGTACTGTTTTGCTTTTTAAGTTGTAAGTACATAGGTTAAACCGTTAAAGAACTGACTACAAGTGTTCCCGGACAGTCTTTGAAAATCTGACGGTATTTTTTCGAGAAAAGGGTAAAAAACAACAGAATTCTCTAAAGCGATACCGAGAAAGTCGGCATATACAGCGTACAGCTGCATTTTTCTCTTGGGAATAGGCCGAATAACGTTATGCGCATCTTCCTGCCGGTTTACATTATGCTGCGACTAATGTAGTTTAGATACTGAAAGCGTTCATGACACAATTTTTGGAATTTTCTAACAGCCATAACTCTCGAACCAGCTTGTTGCGCGCACACACGCTTTTTTCGCCCATGTAGACAAATCATCTGGCTGCAGAATGTATTAAACAAGTGTTTCGAAAGTTTTCGTGCTTGTACAGGAATTTGGTGCCATGTATCGTCCCACATCCCTTAAACGACGCGCAGGCGGACTTCCTGCATGATCCATCCATCGAGACGATCGTCGATGCGGAACCAGCACTCGTACCGGCCGGCATCTTCCCACGTGACGCTGTTGATGGTCAGCGTGGAACGGCAGCGCATCTGCCCATCGGAGCCGTAATGGATTAACCGCCCGTTCCAGCCATCCCACGCCGGGATCTTATCGGCCACCTCCGGCATGGAGTTCGCCATCAGCAGTTGGTGTCCGCTGCGCCACAGGAAGCGGTCGATTAGTCTTCCGGGGAGGAAACTGAAGCGAACGATGCAGTCCAGCGCCGCGTAATCGCCGTAGCGCACGGTCAGGTTCTGCATCGGCGGATGGAAGACGTTGTCGCGGGTGAGGGTGGTGAGGATGGGGGTCACCCAGTAGCGCTGCGTGACCACCAGTTGGCTGCCGTTGGAGTGCAGACACTCGTACACGCCGCTGTGCCCGTCATTGAAGTCCTCCAGGACGATGCTGAACGCTCCGGTGTCCCGCTGGTATTCGCTGACCCGCCAACTGTTCCGTTTAATGATGTCGTGATGGCTGGTTTTCTGGCCGTTACAACAGTAGATAAATTCCTCGGACTTTGTCGAGGCTAGTGTGGGGTCTGCCAGAGAAACCAGCTTTCCGTTGTATCGGTATGCCGGTGGAATCTCTGTCTGGTTAACCTGTGGAAGTTGACAGTTGAGAGGAGCACACACATTGTTACGTTTAAAGACATGGCGAACAAAATTCTGGAATCTAAGATTTGGCCAATAAATGTGTTTGTAAGGCAGTGGGTGTACCGAGGTGTGGTGTTTAGATACGCTGCTGTATTCTTGTTTAAAGCTTGATCTGAAATACTGTATTCAGGAGAATTGTTGTTGTTGTGAGTGTCTGCTGTTTCGAATTGGGCTCCTGTCCTGAATGTGTGCGGACGTTAAACCATTAAACCTTTACCATTGGCCATACTTTTGTAATATCAATATTGGGATTATTAGAGCAAATTAAATAGGAAAAATTAAACAAATTAAAAAAATACACTTCAGCATTTATACTCGTATGTAACTGACAAATTATTTCCTACTGTATGTACAAGCTAAAATAACTGGATGTCGCCAGTTAGTGTTGCTCGGTCTTTAATTAGAAGCTGTATCAGATTTAAACCAGAAAACTACTTCTACTGATGGCTGTGGCAATGGTCATAGTGTACAGTACCTGCGCGCCGTTCGTGTTGTTGCAGTGAACCAGCAGTGTGCCGCCTTCGGGCGCTCGGATGATCTGCACCCGCGTCGGCAACACTGGTAAGGAAGACCTCGGGGATGGACCACGCCCATAGCCTTGTAGAGACATGGTGCCGGTGCCGTCGCGTTCTTTGGCTTCGTCCAGAATCTCGTTGACTAAAGGGAGAAGTAGAATTAGAATTAATAAGCGCAACAGGTGGCAGCTGCATACTCTTTAGCGGGAGTGACCCGATATGTGCTACCAGATGTGTACATACACAAAGACCCTCCCTTTCGCGCACTTCCAGATACTTTTTGGGAAACCCGTTTGTGCGCGCATCATTCAAGTGGAAAGTTGTGCGTACAACGAAATTCCGAAAAGCTTAAGCGCAAGATGCTGCACTCACCAAAAGTCTCATTATGGACCGGTCTCTTTCAAATTTTTTGCAAACTATAGTACAAGCAGAAAGAACGTTTTGACACGAAAGCGCATTTTCATCATGTTTTTAAGATTTTAGATGAATTCGAAAAATTCCTTTTGAGGACTTTAATGAAATTAGCCATGACGTTTTCTTAATTTTTTCCGAAGATTTTTCGTGTTCTCCGATTTTTACTCATCAGCTTAGCGTGAAAACAGCAGGATTTTCCTCTAAATGCACCAGTTGTAAAAATCTGCAAAAACGTTCGCCTAGCCTGCCGAAACTGTACAGTGACTCACGTGTATCCACGGCTCCCTTCTGATTCTGGGGTTCCTTCGGCGTCCAGGCACAGGCGAGACTGCCCGTGATGCAGCTGGCCACGCAGACAGCCACGATGAGGAGATGGCCCATTTAATATCGGATTATCCCACGATTGGACCGAAAATACATAGGATGATAATATTTTATCGATAATCAGGTATCCTAATTCATCCGAACAGCACAAATTAGCTGCTTGCCATGCTCATCAAGTATAGCGATTTCGTTTAATCAATATGAGCAGATAAACATTACTGTATCCCAACGAGTTCCCATTTGTTCGCTAAAGAAGCTAATCGCCTTTGTACGCGGGCATGTAATCAGTCTTTGTCCGATTAGAGTATCTGTGAAACAGGAGTGCTAAAAAACACGACATAATTATTTGCTGTGTTTCGGAGAAAAAGTAGAAATCCCGAAACCCACGTGGTAGCAACGGTCGCTAACGAATGCAGCCGAGGGAGAAAAGCCAGGCCTTTTTACTTTTTGGACGGAGCGCGCTGCTGGACTGGGACTAGCAGAAAAATAGAAGGGCGCAGGCCGAAGGGGGCGTGGTCAGTATAAAGGGAGTTTCCAGCGCCACCGGAAATGGTGAAGCTTCTTCCTCTATAAGCTTTATAACGTTGCTACAGGTTTTTTCCCTTCTGATTATTAAGTTTTATTCCTTCTAACGCATTCAGCAAGGCAATTACGCACGAAAATCAGCAGCGCTAATTCACAGGCGAAACGGGTGGCTAGTGCTACATCAATCTGGTTCCAAACGACGCATTCACAACTTAAAACTATTTGTAGTTTTTTCCTTATTTAGTTGATAGAATTTAAATTATTTTCCGTGACGAACAATTAGAAAGGAGAAAGTAAAGGGGAATTGTTTTCAAAAACTGAAGTTGGATGAAGTTCGAGCAACTGCAATTGCACCGAACGTGAGTAAATTACTTTCGTTAAAAATTTTTGTTCGCCGATTTTCGCAAAACAGAAATTATGTTTGCCAGGAAACAGACTTTCCCGGGAATATAGTGTATTCTGATAGAAATCGCTACTGTGCGCCACGTGCCAACACTCCCTGAAGACGCGCTACTGCAGCATCGCATTCGTGCCAGCATCTTCCCTGGATATAGCTGAAAAGCCTGCAAAATAAGGGTGGGAAGGGTACGCGCACTCTTTTAAAATTTGTTTGACCTTGGACCACTTCCGATAAATAACGAATCATGTACACCAGCGGGAATCAAAAATTACAGGAAAGTGAACTTGAAATTGGTTCGCTTTCGACTTTATGGCCATGTTGCTTTTACAAAGTATTATAAAGTTTTACGAAGGTCGGGTGATAACCAGACTTCTGGTACACATTACACAATACTGCATTTAAACGTTTCGCCCATTTTAGTGCGCCATATCTGGGCAACCGGATGTTGCGCGCGCAAACGTTTTTATGAAAATTGTATACAAATCATTTAGCTCTAGAATGACATGAAGTATATTACAAGAAAGTGATCTGGAGTGCGCGAAGGCGAATGTTTTAGTGTATGTATCCCATTTTGGATACAATGTTGTAGTAAAAAATGAACGGCAATATGCAGGTTCACTATTTCCGGCAGATCGACGGATTTCGACTGGCAATAATTCCGTGCGCTACCAGATTACTCTAGCTGTGAGGATTCAGAAGAAGGTCTGTCGAAGCAGATACATCCCGGGCCCTAACGTTGCCAGTGTGTTGGTTGACCTTGATACCAAAACAGCGTCTGCACGCGAGGTCCATTGTTCGCCAGTGTGGCCGCTTAACCACCGTTCTTTCCTAAACTGCATCGCGACGGTCGCGAGACCGTTACGCTTTCGTGCAGCCTGAGTGCTGGGTTTCGTTCCAGAGCGCAAAATGTATCTGTACTTTATCTCCGCAAACTTCTCTGAACTCCTGGCCGCAGCAGGCACAGAAGTCATTCATCGGTGGACCACCCCGCTACATTCGAGAACCAGACGTCGGAAGTGATGCCGGCATAGTTTGTACGGCTGCTGGCTGGTGTCATCCGCCCTCGTCCAGATTTTCCAGGATTTCTGTCAAAGGAATGGTTGTCCCCATTCTTTTTACTGAGATCGCGGATAACCTGGAGACTCGCATACTCGGGAAACTCGGACGCTCAAGCCATACGGTGAACTTCGGATCAATATCTACTTGACTGCATCTACTTCGTTCGTTTACTAACCAGTCTGTGCATTGTGGCTTTTGATACATAACTGTCTTTGCACGGCGAGGTCGTTGAACGAATTCGTAGACGTTAAAATTTTCCCGGCAGGTGTTTGACTGGTATTCTCAGACTCCCAGTAGCCCATCGTATCCTATATGTATCCTTCATACATCTATTTATTGTTCGGCTCTTGTTTTTCTTTCGCTGCGATATCTCGTATTCGTTGCTTATCGCCCATGTATCGATTGAGCAACCCGAAAAAACTATGAAAAGAAAGATCAACAGGATACATAACGTTAAATACAGAAACATAAGGACACTGTGAGATCTGAACACTATGAGATCTGATATAAACAAGATGCAGCAGATATACGATGGGATATAGGCAAGTTGAAGACACATGGTGAACCGCTTAGACAACATTCATCCACTTCAATATCCAGAAAACCGCATTACCTAAAATATTTATTAACATGTTCCAATCGTGCCGTGAATTCAGCGTGAATCCGGCTTTAGACCGCGAAGTAAAAGCTATTGTTGAACCCGCATTCGTTCAGGCCCAATAATACTTATCATGTCATAATTCGTAAAGGTCGCATGAATGCGTCACAGATACTGCTGGGATATCACTTTGCACCGAGGTACATCGCATCATAATTTCCGCACAAACAAATCTCTTGTCCCTGGTTGGAGCTAACGCATCGCCGACATAAACGCTCGACCATTACAAAGAAACACATCCAGAGCAAACGCGGTCTATGCACACGCAGCTGCCCACCGCTAACCAAACGGTTGCTGCGATTAAACGACGTTAAGATATGCTTCCTGCATGATCCACTCGTCGAAACGATCGTTGATGCGCAACCAGCACTCGTACCGCCCGGCGACTTCCCACGTCACACTGTCTATCGTCATCGTCGAGCTGCAGCGACCCTCGTCATCCACGCCGAAACCAAAGCTCCCAACGAATCCCCACCAATATTTGGCCTTTTTAGCGACCTCGGGAATGGATTCGGCGAGCATCAAGTGGTGTTCGCTGCGCCACAGCGAGCGGGTGCTCATCTTTCCGGGAAGGAAATTGAAGCGGACCGCGCAGACCATCGCCGCGGGGTCGCCGTGGCGGACCGTGACGTTCTGCATGGGCGGTTGGAAGACGTTGTGGCGGACGAGGGTCGCGCTGACATAATACCGCTTCGTCACCACCAGCTGGCTGCCGTTGGAGTGCAGGCACTCGTACAGACCGCTGTGGGCGTAGGTGAAATTATCCAGTTCGATGGTAAACGCCCCGCTGTCCCGATCGTAGTTGCCCGCACGGACCGTGTGCCAATGAAGTCCTGTGAGGTTACCACTTCGATTTGTGCAGTTGCAAAAAAAATGTTTTTCATCCGCAACTGTAGCTACTGGGGTATTAACCGGGAAACAGATTCCATTGCGTGTGAATGCCGGTGGAATCTTGGTGTGGGAAACCTGAAGAAATAAGCATAGAAAACGTCTTTACTCTTCAAGCACACATAATTATGTGCAGATTGCTCACAACAGTTGCATAAACTCTTGTTTACGCTGGTGAGTGCTACTGTATAAATATTAAATACGTCACGTAACATCTGCAGCGTGGACCAGAAGTCCAGAACACACTGACTATGGTATTGTCCTAATGTCTCGGGAGGTTGTACATTAACATACCAGCCTGTTCGTGTTGTTGCAAGGAAGGAGGAGCGTGCCGCCTTCGGGCGCTCGAATCAGCTCCGTCTGCGGCGGATTATTGTAGAATTTAACTGCAAAAATTGTAATTCAGTCGTAGGAACTTGAGTAATTTTTATCACTGCCCACACTTGCCGCGCGACCACCCCGTAATTCGTCTTTTTCTCCCTAGTACACATTGACCCTGTGGCCATCGTGTAAATCTCACAGATTTCTACTCTGCACGATGAATTCAGTTGAATTGCTTAGCAATGTCTCGATGGTCGAATCAGACTGGGAGTGAGCTACACAGCCAGTAAAATGAATTAACGGCGATCCATGAGCGAAGTGCGGGCGGTGTAATGGTGTGTAATGGTGTCCGCATCCCCGTAAAAATTCAATTGCGCCGTTAATTACAGGCACCCGTCCTTGCCACGCTGGAGCAGGGAGACTGCCAGTTCGTCCAACTTGCCAAAATTGTACCGGGACTCACGTGTACAGTATCCACGGCTCTTGTATCCACGGGTCCCTTCTGCGTCGGGGCTCCCTTCGGCGTCCAGGTACAGGCGAGACTGCCCGCGATGCAGCTGGCCACGCAGACAGCCACCACGAGAAGACGACTCATCCTCCCACGATTGGACAGGAAAGACATATGGTGATGCAACAAATAGATTCACAGTTCACTCAAAAAATATTTTATTGTTGTTATATAGCTGACAAAACTTTTTGCTCGACGAACCTAACCCGCTTACGGTGGTGCAAACGGTTAGCGAGGAACTAACTAAAATCGGAGTCCGCCATGTTCTGCCTCCGGTTATATAACTAGCGATTTATATTGGTTCTGTATGTGAACGCTCTCCACTCAAAGGCTGCTGCGGCTACACTCAGACCCTGTGCATTTAGACCAGTCCGAGCAACTTTGCCCTCTCCTGTGTCTTTGATAGGGAGTAGAGAGGACAGCAGATGACCAATACCTACCCGTTGTAAACAGCAATTTAGCACGGGATGCAGAGCGTTGCAGAGAACTTTCTGCAGGACAGACTGGGTCTCACTCAGACCGCTTGCCATTTTTAATGCATGTGTAGTAAAACCTATGCGGATCTGCAGCGGTCTGATTGAAATCGCAAAAGCTACCTCTAGTAAATACTGCATCCGATAACTATTAATTCCAGAACGTTTCATTGGGGAAATCTTAGAGTAACCCAGGAAAGGATTGTGAGTGTTAAAGCAGTGAACCTGTCGACGTTGTTTCTTGTTGTACCATCATCCTTATTTCCCGATCAATCGTGGGAGAGTGAATCATCTTCTGGTGTCAGCTGCCGTGGCTGCCAGCTTGGCCAGTTTACTCCCGGGCAGTCTCGCCTGTGTCTGGACGTCGAAGAGAGCTCAGAAGCAGAAGGGACCCGTGGATACAAGTGAGTTACTGTACAAATTTTGGTAGGCCAGACGAGGGAAGTCTCCCCGGTCCTAGTATTCTCCTGTGTTTCTGTTATGTGCCTTGAAAAACACGGATAATGGTCCACACCCGCTTTTTAACCGGATGCGCTAGCTCCGGCATTTTTACCGAGAGAAATCCCCTGCTCGGGGCGGGAAAAGCGAGTGCCGGAATGGGCCGCTCGCTTTTCAAAAAACTTAAAACAAGTTCACAGTGAGCATATTAGTTTCACGACCTTAATAAAAACTGCCACGATTTCTATCAGAAAAGGAAGAGGCAATTTTAATTCCTATTTCGCTAATATTCTCAATAATTAATTTTTTACAGCAACTAATGGCTTTTTTCTCGTTTTTAGAAATGAGGTGCTTGCTGTGTTGATGTGTAGACTATGTAGTACTCTGCACGTACAAGTGGTCACTGCGGTCTCCATGTTGCTCGAGGAACAGGCAGCTGCCACCTGTTGAGTTATCCGTTGATTTCGCTTAACCATATGTAATTCTCTCTTTAGTGGACCAGATTTTAAACGAAGCGAAGGAGCGCAACGGCAACGGCACGATGCATTTGCGGGGTTTCGGGCGGGGTCCCTCGGTGGCGGGCTATCCAACCACGGAATGGCCGCCGCAGACGCAGCTGATTCCTTCCTTGCAACAACACGAACAGGCTGGTATGTTCATGTACAACCTATCTAGACATTAGGACCTTACCATCAGTCCATGTGTTCTGGACTTCTGGTTCATGCTTCAGATATTACCTGTGTTGTTGACTTTTGTATACAGTAATCCTCACCGGCGCACAAGTGTTTAGGCAACTGTCGGGAGCAATCTTCACGTAGTCAGGAGCTACATGAGACCCCATCAACCATGTACTAGTTTTTTTAAGCTGGATCTGACCACGTATTAATAATCAGCGAATTTTTCGGATCGAGAATCCGTTTCTCAAATTTTTTTTTTCGGCCGAAAAATTTTCTGACTGCCAGTCACCCAGTGCCGTTAAACGGTAGTCCTCAGTGCAAAAGATTAAGAACTACCAACTCCCGTTTTCAACGTTGTCCGCGCTTACACTCTCCCTAGCATTCAACACAAGTTTTTGCCGGACTGTGGACATTTATGGCTCAACTTATAGAACCCATATTAGGCATTTCTGAATAAAGCGTTTTCCATTGTACCTTGTTGATTCACCTCGGGTATAATTATCCATTCACTAAGTAGTTAATTAGCAAGACCTACGAGAGCTCAAAAACGTCAAAACTAGCGATTTTCGCGCACCTACTGTCTTGATTGACTTGAGACACAAGTTCATATTATGTTTTTATCGCCGCTTTAAAGTCCCTTGCTGTTTATTTCATTAAGGGATAGCGAATAACTGTTGCCGATCGCTGGGAGAAAAATTCCACTTTGTCGCCTCCCGACGTCACTGCCCGTTAACGGGTTAGAAAAATAGTACATGGTTGATGTGGGTCTCGTGCAGCCGTGCACGCAGTTGTGTGTGTTCAAAGAGTAAAGACGTTTTGTATGCTTATTCCTCCAGGCTCCGAACTCCAAGATTCCACCGGCGTACACACGCAATGGACTCCGGATCGCGGTTAATGCCCCTGTAGTTACATTTTTTGATGAAATACATTCTTTTTTGTAACGGCACAAATACAATTGGTAACCGGGGAAGAAATCTTGTGATTCACCCGGTCAGAGTGGAGAACTACGATGTGGCCAGCGGTGCGTTTACCATCGCATTAATGAATTTCACCTACTCCCACAGCGGTCTGTACGAGTGCCTGCACTCCAACGGCAGCCAGCTGGTGGTGACGAAGCGGTATTATGTCAGCGCGACCCTCGTCCGCCACAACGTCTTCCAACCGCCCATGCAGAACGTCACGGTCCGCCACGGCGACCCCGCGGAGATGGCTTGCGCGGTCCGCTTCAACTTCCTCCCCGGTGAACTGGCCACCCGCTTCCTGTGGCGCAGCGAACGCCACTTGATGATCGCCGATTCCATTCCCGAGGGCGCTAAAAAGGCCAAATTGTATTGGGGATTCGTTGGGAGCTTTGGTTTCGGCGTGGATGACGAGGGTCGCTGCAGCTCGACGATGCAGATAGAGAGTGTGACGTGGGAAGACGCCGGGCGATACGAGTGCTGGTTGCGCATCAACGGCCGTTTCGATGAGAGGATCATGCAGGAAGCTTATCTAAACGTCATTTAATCACAGCCACCCTTTGGTTAGTCGTTCGACAGTTACATATACTTAGATCTCGTTTGCTCTGGATGTGTAGCAAGTTCTGCTTCTTTGCAATGGTTTTTATCGGGGAAGTATTGAACTCATCCAGAAAAGAGCAGTGGTGTAATAGTTTGGAAAATGTGATGGGACACACCTCGGTGCCACGTGCTATCCCGGCAGCATCTGTGACGCTTATGAGTTATGATACGGGTACCATGGGTACTTCCTGTGACCTTTATGAGTTATGATACGGGTACCATGGGTACGATCCCCGATCAGGATAGCATAGAGGAAGAGTTTCTTTTGTAAATGCTGTTTTGTTCTGGTGCATAGATTGTACTCTTACCATGATACTTATTAAAGGTTATCGAGGACCAAATACATTTATGATGTACAGTACATCCACGGAAACTTCCGTTGTGGCGCACTCCCAGACACTTTTCTGCATCGTTTTGTGTTATGTTGTAGCCACAGGATTTGTTCACGTAGGTGTGAAACCCTTTTGCGCGCTCATCATCCGGTTACGCAGTTATCAGCGTAAGATAATTCTAAAAAATTTAAATGCATTCAGGTGTACCATAAGTCACATTATGGACCGATTATGGACCGCTTACAATATTGTTTATGGACCGCTTACAATTCGAAAGCGGAAGTTGTTTTAGTGGAGGTGTACGGGGCAGGTAGCCTGGTACGATGTAACAGGCCATTTTGTCGTAAGCAGTTTTATCATCTTGCGGCGGCGAAATTTATTTTCTAAGATGTTAGCAGAAAGTAAAGGTTACAAGGGCTTGCGCTAATAAAGGAGTGCGTACTAATACATTACTAGTGCCATTGGATCTTGTGCACCCGGCCGCTCGGCCTGCACTATTTTCCGCATTTCCAGCCACGGTCGTGTTCGCCGTTGATCCAGTATTTTCTTAGGTTTATAATTCGTAGTCCTCGCTGATCCACATTCCAGGCAGCTGTCGTTTCCCACTGGCGAATCGGGTCCGATATGTGCAGTTGCGTTGTCCTTGGCAGTCAGACTGTGGTGTACACTGTACGTACATATTACCTATTTGTCGTATAGCAGCCAATGTTACTGCGATATTTTGTAATTTTTCTTTTTACCCGTTATCATAATGTACTTTATCGGGTTATTCAACTGAACATTGGATAGAAACAAAATTACGCGTCACATCATTTCAGCACATACTACATTTCTTCATCCAGTTTCTTACCAATACAGAACGTTTCTTGAACACAATCAGCATTTACCACGCATCAAAGCCAGTCCAGTTATCTAGTCTTATTACCACCTACTTATTACTACTACGAGGACATTTGGGTGCTGTGAACATACCCTTCACGATTAGGGTGCGATGAACACCCGGGAACTAACTTTGCAGAAAATTTTATTTTGACAAAAATGTTATATCCAAGTATTTTCAACGTCTGTTTCGACAAATTACGGTCCACAAAAAATTATTGTATCTTCAAACCACATTTTAAAAGATCATAGTGCTCCACAATTTTAAGTCACAGAACAGAAATTCCAGAACAGAAATTCCTCCTGACATGACTTGACTGCTGCGTCCATAGCAGCATTATGACAAGCTCTGACGAGTACGCATATCCGTAGCTGATATGTGTGAACAGTTGGATTTAGTACACGTAGCAAATCAGAATAATTAGTAAAAAAAAGAAGAACAAGCGTCACTACAACAAATCTAGAACAACAAGATTACAAGAATAAGATACTGGAAACAAATATGTGTGAGTACTCGTACTCGTACTGTGCGTTTTAAACTTGGATTAAATTCTGAAATTCCGACCGTGATGCCAGTAGCGTTGCGAGCTGCAGAGCAGTCGGGTGTTCATCGCACCCTAATCGTGAAGGGTATGTTCACAGCACCCAAATGTCCTCGTACTCAGTGTGCTACTTATTAAGTATTATTATTAGGCGTTAGCGGCAGAGATTACTCTATACGGAAAATACCCAGCGGCAACTTCCTACAAAATTCCTTAACAAACGACACTGTCCCAACCCTGCGAAGAAAACACCGCATCCGGGACCCAGAGTTACAGTAATTGGCTCACAGGAATTCGATTTTATAGCTGCTGATGATTGCCTTAACTTGACGCTGGATGACGCTCATACATCTCTACTTGCGGTTAGTCAGCGATGGAAGGCTCAAGTTTCAGTGTCAGCCAACGGAAGTCCGGTGTAGAAAACGCAGGATGCACAGCGTTATTGGCCGGCGGAGCACTGCAAACGCCGGATGTAGTCGTGGTGGGGACAGCATGAATCATCGGCTCGGTGGTGAATGTTACCGGTTGTTGCACTGTTCCATTTCATGAGTCGCAATAAGGACCGTGCGAATTATCAATGCCGATTCGGTCTACCCAACAGCTGGAAAAATCTTGGGAATACGATCGTGCAAATGCGTGTTTTTTTTTAATAAGGACGTACGGTTAGCGTATCGCTGGAACGCAACGCGGTGGACATTACGTACTGATTGACGGTGGTCAGATGCTGCTGTATTCAACCGTTAATCTCTACGTAAGGTTCTGGTAAGGTTCTGCGAAATGCCCGAGGACGACAGCGTTCCGGCGCGGGTAATCGTGGATTTCGGGTGCACGTCAGCAGCAGTCCGTGTTTGTAGCGTGCGCAAAACAATAAATTCCGTAGGCCACGAAAACGGACTGCTGGGATGAGGAGGAAGCCCGTCTGGAGCGCCAGCGTCAATGCAGCATTTGGCGAAAGCGGCACACGCGGCACGCTGAACCGCGCCGCGCTCGTTCACATCGCTGATCGGAGCGTGATCTGTAGGTTGGTAGCCACGAAAACCTGATTAGCGGTATTCGTCTCTTTGTATTGCGGTATCTCCTGATGCACGGAATTCAGCAACTGATATCTCAAACAACTAATATCTCAAAAGGATAAGAAAAAGACTAACAAGATTTTTGCTACTGAATAGGTCATCCTTTATGAGCTCTAAGAGAAAATCCAGTCATTTTCGGTTGTCGTTGACAAAGCTTAGGATTTCTGCGTGAATACAGGAACCAGACCGTGAATTCAAATCCTATGCTGTGTCTGGGAAAAACCGAGGTGCCTCAGACTTCTTTTGAACCTCATAAAAAATATTCAAATTTCTGCAAGTTTTTACATTGGCTTGAGGTATCGGTTGATGGTTTTCGTTGCGAATCGTTGCGAATCGTTTCGTTGCGCCGATGCTTAAATACAGCTAAGACGTACACCTTTGTGGAATCCATTGCATCCAGTGGTGATTTATATTGTTGTTTTATACAGTTATATATCGAACTCTGATCTAGTAAATTGCGCCATTTGTATTATTCTTCTGGTAGAAAGCTCTGGGCTCTGCAGGTAATCTGTAATTCTAGCGGAAGTGGGGAACATGTGCGGGATTCGTCAAGATCCAAGCCGATCGTTGATCTCTCACAGGATAGCGTCTTGATTGCATAACTAGCATCTGAATGAAGACGATAAGAAGGCGATTGTGATTTCCTGGTGGAAACAGGGAGACAGTTCGGTTGTTGGTTTAGCCCAAAAGGGTTATACAAATTTAACGGGATATGTGATATCGAAATCCTGTATTTCCGGTGATCCTCAGAGCAGATTTCCAGAAAAACTGTGGCTAGAAAACGGAATGCTGGGATTTTCCTTTAGTCAGTTCCACAGCTGAAAAACACTGGGACTTGTTGACGCAGCTCTCACTGAACTGATGCGGTAGATGCTGGTTGAACACGAATTAATAAAACTGACTAACAGACTTCATGCTACTTGTACTCGTTTCCATCGCACTGTTTTAATAGTGCAGCAAGTACTGGTCACGTGCCACTGAGTCTCTACAGAGAGCCTGAAAGCACCACAGCACAAAAGAACTGCAAAGAAAACGGAATAAATTATTCACCGCATTGACAGATATTAATGAGGACGCACAAAAGTATCACATAACCGAAGCAACGCTGCCCGGCTCCGAAATGTACCTAACTTAATAAAAATCCACATTTATGAGCAGCGTGCCAAAATGCTGATTGTCGACTCGGCCAAGCCACAAAGTTGTTGCATCGTCACTTGTGCCATTCGAACAAGCAGTGTTGTAATCGGCGGCGGTTGTAGTGTCTGCACCGGCAGCAGCAGCGGTTGTCTCTTCACTGGCAACTGTAGCCACCGTCCTTCCCTCTTCTGCCAGCCGACGTCGATTCCTCGGCAGCAGCCGCCGTCGGGTCTTCAGCTAGTGCTGGTGAGGATTCGTGACCCTCAACGGGAGTCCTCTCTTCAACGCCCTCCGCAACGGTGGTTGTCTCCTCGCCGGCAACCGAGGAGGCGGTCGTTGGTGCAGCATTAGTGTCGTTGGCGGCCTGAGCAACTCCTTTGGCAGCCGCTGCAGCTGTCACATTAGCAGTTGGCCGAGATGTTGCATCCACCAAAGCCGGTTTCGCGGTAGTTGACGACACGTTGGGGATCAATACACGCCCACCGCAGGATGGCTTTGCTGTAGTCGAATTGTTGGGCTGGAAAACAGCCGGTCGGCTGGTCGGTTTCGATCCGTTACGGTCAGCATGTCGCGACCTCTGCCCCAACACTTTGGCCAAAATGAACGTGGCCGAAATGAAAACGGCCCAAGTGATCGGTAGCCAAATTCCCGGCTACCGATCATAATTTCTGATCAGCATTAGGATTTAGGATAAGTACACATTTTCGTTGCGGGACGTTCTCCAACTTTTAAAATTCTAATCGTTATTTACTGATTGGTTAACTAAAGCTTTGTGTGTCGAAAAGATTGTTCTTTCAAATGAGACTAACACGAAGTCAGTCAGTGTTAATCTCATTTGTTAAAGTGTTTTTTTGGTAAAGTCACAAAATGTGCTGCCGGTATAGCTCAACCGGGCCAAGCCCATGCCAACAGAAAATTTTCTTTTGGAAAAAGACCATTTTCCCGCTAAAAGAGTTGAAAAGTATTCAGTTACCATGTACTAGAAGGAACTGGCACGAGATTCTGTCTCCAGCGAACTAGGACACAATATTGTTCACACAATTTCAATTGACATTATTTTTAGCAGGCCAGCTTGCTTTCGTAAAAAAAGGTTGTGCTGTTTAACGTAAATTTGTTTTCTTATGGTTCTTCTTGAACGATTGCGAAAGGCTGTACTGGTTGTGCTTACGGCGGCCCCCGATGAAGATGGCGCGCGACGAAATCCTCCCATAATGGCATCATCGCGCAGGTAAGGATATCAGCTCGCATCCGCGTGTACAACTTCCTCCGCAAGCGGCGACGCAGCGTTCTTTCGTAGGGTTATTCCGGCGTAGAAGCCTGCTGCGTCGTCGCTGGCGGTGGACGGACGCGTGAGACGCAGCCGTCTGCTGGATGGGATTTTCTGCCGGAATCTCTTGCGAACCGCGCCCAAACGGGCGAAGAGGAATGTCGGACAGTTTGGATAAGTCCTCGTAAAAACTACAATAAAGAAGCGCAGTCTAGCTAGTTTTTACAAAACTGGTTAGACTGTCAAAAAGGGGCGCTTCTTTATTCATAAAGATTCCTACTAATTGCTTTTTGCAATGCTGGAATCCGGTGGTTGGGGAAAAAAGCGATTTTCATGCGATCATATTGTAACGAGAGTAATCGAATGACCGCCTTGTTTACAGTGTTGTTGGTTTTCTTTACTGTTCATTGGCTGTTGCTCTCACCGTGTAACTGAGTGATTCATCCTTCTTTTTCTCTACACTTTTACCGGGTAAATGTCTAAGAGAATGGAACACACTAATTTTCATTAGAGAATCCTCTGAATGGATGCTTGTCACGCTTGCCTAGCTTGCCCAGCTTGTCCTGCTTGTACACTTGTTAATTAAATGCTTGGAAACGACGTTGTTTTGTTTGACTCCTCGGGATGATGCACCCATCATCCCGCTCGTCATTGTCACTGTAAAACCACTTCCGATTCACTGCTGAGCTTACGCCCGGCAGTGGCGACATTTCCATCAACAGCCGACACAACATCGCGGTACGGTCAACACGCCAACCCACTAGAACGCCGGTATAACCGCCCGCGTTACAATATTTGTAGTAATAGAAGCGTTTCCATGCACAGTTCGAAGAAAATCAGTCCGTAATGGAAGCCTGAATGTTGTGACTGTCTGTTACATACTTCTTCGTAATAATATTCTGTACACTATAGCAGTTAAAGACTTACCGCCCGAAAGAGTACTGACTGCCCTCTCTCTACCGTTTACCGGTTGCGCATGCTGACCGCACTGGACTGCGGCCGATCCCGGTGTTTCGGTATTTCTGTGGCGTGTGCACGTAACTGTCTGAATCACGTAACTGGCAAAATTAAAGGTCACACTACACTGGCGGCACCCGTGTCATCATTTCCCCATCTACCTCCTTCTCCACCTGCCGGTTGTATAGTCGTTAACCGCCAGTAGCGCCGCTGCAGTCTCTTAGCAGGAATTCTTATCCGGAATAACCCTTCGACAGATTGCGTCGCGTGCTGGCGGAAGAAGCCGCACGCGGGCACATCCTTACCGGCGAGGGATAATGCCTTGTTGGGTGAATTCATTCCTGCCCACTGCGCGTCCGCATCAGCGTAGGATAGCCAGAGGCCACGGAGTGCGCAACGAGGGTGGCCCAGCGTGGTAGACTGGCCCATACAGCGAGCACGCCAGCCACGTCAGTTCAGATACAGCCGTTGTGCATCGCGACGCCATTCGCACAGCCATAGGATCGTCTTTTTTTACTGGTCACATCATGCTTACGAGACCGGTGGAATAGCTTCCCAACTGGCCTCGTTCTCTACTGGCCGGTTATCTTAACTTCAGGTTGCCACATCGGAACATTTCAGTGCACAGGATAATAGCTAGTTAATATTTAAAAATAGATACTCGTATGGTCGTTCAAGTGAAGCAGTATGATAAGTGAATGAGCAAAGGTCGTTCAAGTAGAACACCCGAAATAACTAATTCCCCAAACGGATTTTCTTCCGGTTTTTTTCATCATCCAGTTAATGTGAAGTACTTGCCATAAAGTAGTATTTTTATTACTTTCCGAATGAGTACGACTAACTGGTCTTCTGCTCATAAACATCGTGCTTGCATAGTTACGTTGCTAAGCGGTAGCACAGTACTGCACACCCTCACAATAAGATTGAAAAACGTAATAATTAAATCGAATCATAAATAAGCGAAAATCAATAAAAAAAAATTAGGCATTGACGGAAGGAGCATTAGAATTAACACTAAGTGGAAGAGACTCCTTCGCTGGCTTGGCTGGAGGTGGCAGTGGCTTCACGACTTTAATGTTGCCCAGCTGCGTGGTGGCATCCTTGACGGCCTGCAGCAAATTATCTCTCGCACTACCTGGAGGATCGATATCCATGTTATCGGTCGGCTCCTTTTCTAGATCCTTTGATGATCCCGCTTCATCGTCCGCTGCCTTCGGTTCCCGTCGCCAATTCGCTGTGTCACCATTCGATTTCTCTTCTGTTGGCTTCGAATTATGGCAATACTTAGCCAAATGACCGGGGCGGCCGCAGTTATAACACTTCCTTGAAGATCTAGAACTCTGGTATAACATCGCATTACCAGTGCACGTATTGAATCGCATCAACAGTTTAGCTTTCGGAAATTTAGGCATGTTTTCTACTGTTTACAGAAAAACTAAGAAAAATATCTGCATAACAACTACGAATGAAAAACTGCATCTATAATTCGCAACAGTTTTCGGTTGCTAATGAATATCGTTAATATTAAAATAATATGTAATTTCTTTTTATTTACAATATGTACAGTACTTAATACTCGACCAATTCTCGTAATTGTTAGTTCTTCGCGTTGTATCCATATCTGTCAGGTTCTTTTACTTGGCGCCCACTTCTTGTATGACCTGGATTACCAGGTTCGTTTGAACTGCTTTTAGCTTTTGGTACTTTCGGGGCAGGCTTTTTCTTTACTGGTGGGGCAAGTGGTACTTGCACTGGAGCTTGAGGGATCGGAGGTGTTGCTTCCGGTTGTACTAGCACTGGTGGTAATGCACTTTGTTGTTCTTTAATCTCTGGCACAGCTTCAAAGCGTCGCGCCGGAAGTGCATCTGGTGCAGCTTCAAAGCGTGGCACCTTGGGTAGCGCAGCTTCTAAGCGTCGCGCACTGACAGACCCGCTTTCAATTGTAGCATTGCCGTTAGCTGGTACTGCAACATCACCTTGCGCCGTCACTGCCGACAGCGCTTCTGCATGCTCTTCTGGTGTCAGCCAGTAACGCTTCAAGATTTGATTACAATGGCGTCTCATTTCTACACCGCCAACTGACACCAACCACATCGTCGAACCGATCGGTTTCAGTAACTTCCCTGCTGTCCAGTTACTTTTCCTGTTAGTACGTAAATCTTTAACCTGAACACTGTCACCAACTGCGAACAGTCGCATTTTCGTCTTCTTATCGAAGTTTTTCTTTTGACGCAGACGTGCATCACTCTTTATAACTGCCACTTCGGGATGTACTAAATCTAAAACCGTTTTCATTTTCCGGTTCATTAGCATTTCGCACGGTGCTTTTCCGGTAGTACTCTGTGGTACACTTCTAAAACGGGTGAGAAATTCTCGTAATGCCGTTTTGAAATCTTTCCCTGACTGCATACCTTTCTCGATACCTTTCTTTACAACATCGACATATCGCTCGGCTTGCCCGTTAGACTGCGGGTGACCTGGTGCCGTCGTCATATGCTTAATGCCGACTGATTGACAGAAACTTTTGAACTGTTCTGACGTAAACTGCGTACCATTGTCGCTTACAACTTCACTGCATAAACCGAAACGAGCAAATAAGCTTTCCAAAATAGTAAGAACGTTTTCCGTATCTGCTTTTTTGACTTCGAATACTTCCAACCATTTTGAATACGCATCTACGTATAAGTAACATGCGATTCTTAAACGGTCCAGTAAAATCGATATGTAGTCGATACCACGGGCCCTGTGGCACCGGCCACTGCTGTAACGGAACTTTGGCTGGGTCCTTTGTTAACAGCGAGCAGATTTCACATTTTGCCGCTAAGGTTTCTAAATCATCATCAATATTAGGCCGCCACACATGACTTCTGGCTTCACTCTTCATTTTAACAATGCCCATATGCGTAGCATGTAAATAATCGGTAATACGAGTACGAAGTGACATCGGTATCACAACACGCTGGTTCCACAATAAACAGCCATTCCTCAATGAATACGCTTCTTTCTTACGCGAGTAAGGGAACAGATTCTCTGGCACTTTCTTAGGCCAACCGTGCATGTGGTAATGCATTACGGTACTCACTTCCTTGTCGGTTTCACTTTCACGACATATAACATCTACTGATACTGGCAACGCAGACATTACCTCGCTCTCTATCCGATTAATCGTTTCGGATATCCCTGCTTCTTCTTTATCAAAAAGATCGGTCGATTTTAACGGTAATCGGCTTAAACCATCTGCTTATCCAAACTGACTGGTTTGGCGATACTCAATCTTAAAAGTGTAACCCATCAGTATAATTGACCACCGCTGTAATCTGTTAGCAGTAACTACAGGTATGCCTTTCTTGCTGCCAAAAATCGTTACAAGCGGTTTATGATCGGTTAACAACATAAACTCACGACCATAAATATACTGATGAAACTTTTTCACGCCGAACACTAGTGCTAACGCCTCCTTCTCGATCTGTCCGTAATTTTTCTTAGCCGCTGACAATGTTTTCGATACGTGCGCTATAGGTTTCTCGCTGCCGTCTGGCAACTTATGACTCAGCACTGCACCGATACCGTACTTCGATGCATCTGCGGCTAACACTAACGGAAGTTTCGGGTCGAAATGTACTAACTGCGTAGTCTTTGTTAAGTCGTTCTTTAGCGACTGGAATACTTCCTGGCATTGACTTGACCACTTCCATTTCGTGGACTGCTTAAGCAATTCATAAAAACAATTACATCGACTCGACAAATTTGGCAAAAATTTTGAGTAATGATTCACCATGCCAAGAAACGAACGCAGCTGACTCACATCTTGTGGTAGCGGCATTTCTACTATTGCCTTAGTCTTTTCTGTAGAAATATATCTACCTGACTTGTCAACAATGTAACCCAGGTACTCAACTGAATTGACCATGAATTCACATTTTTCTTTCTTGCCTGTCAACCCATATTGTTCCAGTCGTTCGAGTACCATTTCAAGGTTTCTCAGTAATTCTTCCAGCGTACGACCTTTTATGATAATATCGTCTAAATAAATCGCTACATCTTCACACCCTTGAAATATTTTCTCCATTAACTGCTGGAAAATACTAGGAGCACTGGCAACTCCGAACGGTAACCTGTTGTACCTGAATAACCCTTTATGAGTATTAATAACCAGCAGCTTAGAACTCTCTTCGTCCAGTGGTATCTGATTGTACGCCTCTTTAAGGTCGATTTTACAAAATATTACGCCACCATTTAACTTCGCAAACAGCTCATTTGGGTGTGGTAACGGATACTGATGTACGTCAAGAGAGTCATTCAATCCCGTACTTAAATCTGCACATGTTCGCACTTTCCTGTTCGGTTTCTTTACCGAAACTATCGGAGCTGCCCATTCCGCAAAATCAACTGGCGTCAATACACCCAGCTTAATTAGTCTGTCGATATCTTCTTCGACTTCCTGCTTTAATGCAAACGGAACCAGCCTAGCCTTACAAAACACTGGACGGGCATTTTCTTTCAAATAGAGATGTGCTTTGAAATTCTTGCAACAACCCAACTCATCTCTGAACACTGCCTTGTGCTTCTCTGAATACTTTCCAACGTGAAGGATTCAACTCTACTAACTGTGCCCTGCTGTAGTTGCTTCAGACTTAATGTACTTAAATCTAACTGGCTTATCCAGTCTCTGCCAATAATACTGCAACCACGCTTCGACACTAATGCCTGTACAGTCTTATTTACACCTCTGTACTGCACCTGTACTTCCACAGTTCCCATTATTGGAATAACATCGCCTGTATAGCTGCGTAACCAAGAACTTGCTTTCTGTACTTTTGGCGAACCGATTTTATGCTACAGCAATTTGCTCATTATCGTTACGGATGAGCCAGTATCTAACTCCATAGATATCTTCTGCTTGTTCACCGTTAAAGGTACAAAAATCGAGGACGCTGTAGTTGGCCCAGCTCGTAGCACATCGTATGGCTCTTCTTCGACATAATTCGTTCTTCTGTAACCTCGATTGCCACGCCCTCTCCTTGGAGCTTTGCAGACTTTAGCAAGGTGACCTTTCTTACCGCAGTTATTACAAACTGCATTCTTGTGCGGACAATCGGGCTTCATATGATCTGACGAGCCACACCCATAACACGCTGTTCTACCTGAACGGTTGCTGTACGAGCTTCTGGCGCTTCGGCCTGATCCGCGAAACCTACCGCGACCACGCCCTCTGAATCCCCCGCGTCTTACAAACGCGACATCTGGCGAACTAGACCTTGGTCCCATCTGCTTGGCATCTTCTCTGCTGGTTTCATATTTTACCCCTTCCTCGAATAGTTTATCGAACTTTTCTACCGAAGAAACTTTAAAAGAGTACAGATATCGCCTCGTAATTTCACTCAGCACTCCTGACATAAACGCAGCGCATAACTGATCATCAACAAAAGTGTCGGGAAAATCGCATTTCACGCTCTGATTTCTAAGCTCATTAGAAAAATCGAGTAACGACTGCCCGGACTTCTGTTTGATACTGAAAAACGTCGCCCTCTCTACTCTGATATTAGTACGCTTGCTGTATGCTATCTTCAGCTTTTCGTACAATTCGGCGAACGTAAACGCACCCGGCTCCTTCGGGCGACACATTGAAGCCAACATCTCCATCGCTTTCGGGTTTAGTGATCCCAGCAAGAGAGGCTTCTTCTTGTCGTCGGCCATGGCGTACGACTCCATGTGGCTGTCGAACTGGATGCTCCAAGTCTCCAGTCGCATGACCTCTGGGTCGAACCTGGCCAATTTCGGCAGACCGGTGGCGTCTCCATCATCCGTCGCAGGAGTAGAGTTGCTCACTCTGGTCTGTGTCGTTGTCGTCCCGACAGGAGTGTTGGTATTGGCCGTACTTCCCGTAGTACTCATATTCAGTTATTATAATATTTATTTACAAACATCATCCTTCACGCCATTGTGAAGTACTTGCCATAAAGTAATATTTTTATTACTTTCCGAATGAGTACGACTAACTGGTCTTCTGCTCATAAACATCGTGCTTGCATAGTTACGTTCCTAAGCGGTAGCACAGTACTGCACAGTTAAGCAGGATTTATTCTTTACAAAGTACCTGAAATTTTTAAAAATGCTTGAACCGTTTTCTTGCAGTTACGTCGTAAAGAACTCAGTGACGAAAACGGTTTAGCCGCGCCACATGAGCCACTGCACTAAGCTTATAAAACTGGAGTCACCACCGTACATGGGCGGCTGCGCCATCGCCGTGTTAGAGGCTGATTTAGAGAAACTAAAGACATCAAAAAGACATCAACTTTTAGAAATGAAGAAAAAACTTAAAGTAAATATAAATTAAGCTGAACTAAATTAACTTCTGACACTGCGATCGCGCAGCCGCCCATGTACGGCGGTGACTCCAATTATATGAGCTTAGTGCAGTGGCTCATGTGGCGTGGCTAAACCGCTTTCGTCACTGATTTCTTTACGACGTAACTGCAAGAAAACGGTTCAAGCATTTTTAAAAATTTCAAGTACACTGTAAATAGTGAATCCTGCTTAACTGGATGAAGAAACAAACTGGAAGAAAATCGGTTTGGGGAATTAGTTGTTTTGGGTGTTCCACTTGAACGACCATCGCTCGTTCACTTATCATACTGTTTCACTGGAACGACCATACGAGTAGTATTTGTATGACATTAGGAGAAAATTCTTCTCCGACAGAAGTATACAGGGTATACCGCTTTGACTGAGCGCATCTTACTCATGCCTTGCAGTTCTCTGGCCAAGCAGCAGGCGATACAGGAACCAGATGTCCGCGAAGTAGCGGAATCCGCCATTTTGATGTTCGCTTCTGCTTCACCTACAGGCCACAATGTTTAAGGGATTGGACCCGCTATATAGAAACAAATTCGGGTACATACAAGGGAACTTTTGCTGTGGCGCACTCCCAAACACTTTTTTCAATTGCTTTATGACATTTTGTAGCCAAAGGATTAATATACGTAGGCGTGAAATCCGTTTGCACGCGCAACATCCGGTTCGGGAATTATTAATGAAATAAAATTTCAATAGTTTAAACGCCCGGAGGTGTACCAAAAGTGGACCGATGCTCTTTAAATTTTGCACAAAAACACACATTACTTGAAGAACGTTTTGGTACCGATCCAACGTTCTACCATTTTTTCGAATTTTGAAATGAATTTCAAAAATTTTAACAACCAATTTAAAATTTGAAAAATAATGGTAGAAAGCTGGTTCGGTACCAAAACGATCTTCATGGTAAATGTGCGATTTCGTGCAAAATTTGAAGGCATCGGTTCATAATGAGACTTTTGGTAAGTACAATAAAGAACATCTGTATCCGGCAACATCGCCGGGACGGATGAACCGTCCGCCGAACGTTTTTGCTTAAGCCGTGAAAACCGGGAAATTTCGCCCACTCAATTTTCTGCTTTATTCGATCTTGTGAACATCTCGGACTGTAAATTCGAGATTGGACGGCTTTTGCCGGACTGTAATTTTGGGGGCAGCGGACGGTTCTGTCGGCTAACAGGCAAAAGCGTCCGGCGGAACGTTCATCCGTCCGGACGATTTTGCCGGCTACAGATGTCTTCGCCCGTAATCGCAGACTACAGTTATGTACAAACTGATGCCGAAACGCACTTTCAGTTACAGATCACTGGATCATTTCGCTCAGTATTCAAACAGCAGCGTCACATTTTACCACATAGCTTGGGTTTGTGTGTGCAGGTCCAGATCTTCCATGATGTCCGTCAAAAGAGTGGCTGGTAGGTGCAATAAACAAGCGACCGTATCATTTACGCCAGTATCCGCCGTGAGCCGTTCGTCATTATTTTGGCCGCAGAACACAGGAACTAAAACAGCCGTCATTCGATTAACGAAACACCAGAACCAATCGTCTATAGAATGTACCGTCTATAGAATTTAAAGACACTTTGTTTAGCAGCCGTATTGCCACTGTATTTAGCAGACAAACCTTCGAGAAACTCAGACTCGTTCGATCTTACCATAGGCACGCTGACTCGGCTCGAGGAATATTTCTCCAGTAAAATCCGCAGCGTGTCCGCTGTCCTGTCCAGGGTTGCGGTGTCCTTTCGGCAGCCGACGACAACCAGCGTGCATTTGTCCGTCCCGACACGCACGTGGAACCGACAGCTCGCCAGCCTGTCGCTAAAGCTCGCGGGGGACTACCGATCCTGCGCCGCTTGCGAGCTGTACAGCCGATGAAAACAATCAACGAACTGCGACGGGTCCGTTGTTTGATCGAAAACCGATTTCGCCGTGGGAAACATGATGTCGTGCTGCGTCACGCAGCACGACATCATTTTGCTCACGGCGAAGGCCACTGGTTTTTTTTTCAGCAGAGGCGGTTCATCGAACGGCAGCCGGCTGATGATTTGGCACGGATCAACGACGGTAATCATCGCTGTCTCAGTTCCCGGTGGTTGTGTAGAGATGAAGTATATGTTGCAGGCGATAACGTTGTGCAGCAGAGTGGCAGGCCGGAAACAAAACGGTCCGCCGCATTCGTCGTGGAGAGCCGCGAATACTGGCATGTTGCGGTACTGGTCGAGATGCGTGTAGGCAAGAACGCCAGCGGCCACACTTCTGCAGCATGGACGTAGCGAGCAGGCGTTGTGGTGGAATCACAGCCAACCAACACGTTGTCACCGTCGATCCCTTGAATGTATCCGAGCCAGCAGACATCGTTCTCCGTCCGCACAGCGACGGTGTTCCGGTAGCTGATTGAATCCATGCCAACCAGAAGCCGTCGAAATGCAGGGAACACTAGTCGCGAATCTATGGCGCATCTTTATGCTAAAACAGCAAATGTGCAACAGTTAGTTATCGAGAATATGAAGATTCATCTCGTGTTTCCGTTAACCCTAACTAAGAAAGTCTGGGCCGGTGTACTTCAACTAATACTCGAAGAAAGCAGGTGAAAGCAAGTACGAGCAAAGTAAAGCAAGTGAAAGGCAGTGAAAGCCTCGAACTTCTGATCAAAAGCTGTTCCGAACGCGAAATGCTTAAGTTGCGCGAAAACCGCATCTTTGCATCATGTGTCTGCATGCTGCAAGTGATCACTAAAGGTTATAACACAATCAAGAAGAGCTCTGACAAACTAATTGATTACAGAAAAAAACATGACTTCGTTGACTGAAATTTTGATACTGCGTAGGGTTTCCAGTGCTTTTAAACTGTAACAACCTAGAAACGATCGAACAAGACTGATGGTTTAATAATTTTTTTAAAAGTCGTCGGTGTCCTTAAGTCTACGTGTATCACAAGAACGTATAAATAGGTAGCTTTTTTCTCCCACGGATTTTGCCAAACACGACACCATTCCCGGCAAAATAGTATTTGGAGTAATTTTTCAGCAAAACTGCTCTTCGCGCGGAACAGTACAAGTCTGGCTATTTCATAAGGCTTCTTTATACGCAATCTAATTCAATAGGAACAAGGTGGGCCGTGTACATTGGGCCAAAACATTGCTAATTTGCCGCGCAACATACGGTTCGGGGGAAATGGCTGTGAGGAAATTCGAAAACGTTTAAATGCATTCAGGTGTACCAAAAGTCTCATTATTTACCGATCTCCTTCAAATTTTGCACGTGAATGCACAAGGCCATGGAGTTCGTCTTTACACCAATCCCGACTTATATGATTTTTTCAAATTTTTAAAATCCATTTTAAAATTTTCGAAATTCATTTTAAAATTTGAAAAGCATGCTAGAAAAAATTTTAAGCTTTTAACGCTTAACCGCTTCCTAAAATTTAAACTGAAAGTGATTTTCAGACATGAAAGGCAGTACAGAGAATACAACAGACGACCTAAAGCATGTGGTATACTCCGTCGGGAGACGACTCCCATTTCAGATAAATCTGAAACCGATACAGAAACTCGCAAACGCAGTTGGCGGCAGCCAGTGTCTAATGGCAGATTCAGAAATCGAAACAGACTGCCTGAAGCGCAAACTGCCAAAGCAGTGTAAACACATATGCCAGTATGCGCACATTTCTCAAATATGTTTAAAAATGAATCGCAATTCACGTTTTGAAAAATTATATTGCGCTGTGCTTTGTTAGTTTGTGTTTATTGTGCAATAGAAATTGTTAGTTTATCTGTTTTGTTAGTAGTCTGTGTCAGTAATTGTGTTACCACAAGACCTGGATTGATTTTAAAACTATGCGGTTGCTACTGTGATCATTTCGTTTTGTATAATATCATTTCCAACATGCGCCAAGAGAAGCTCGCTTTGCTTTTGCACATGGTTCGCGTGCGTCACAGTCTTCTTCGTACTTCTCGTCTGCGCCAAAAAATTCATTTGCTAATCGCGAGCAAAAGAATCCGTCAACGTCGCTGGTATGTCCGTGCACATAATCGTGATCGCGATCGATGGGGTGAATTCTCGAATATTGTCAAACGGATGCGCGAGTTGGACGAGGAGCTACATTTTCAGTATTTTCGGATGTCCAAGGAAACCTTTGACGAAATTCCTACACTGATTACTCCACGCATCAGCCACGCCATCACTCATGAGCATCCGGTGTCTCCCATGGAGCGACTTGCCGTAACTTTAAGGTTAGTAAACTGAAAAAATTGTTGTATACTACTCTAGCAGCTAAATGGTGTAAAATCGAAAACTATATATTCAGACAAATTTGTTTTAAATATACTTGCACTTGGGACTTGTTACCTTAATTTGCTTTGATTTTTGAACTACTCACAGCTGCCGTTTTTGCTCATTATAGCTGTTATAATATATGATTCCAGAATCTTGGCTTCGGGCATGAGTCAAGCTGCAGCGGCCCATAGTTTCTGTCTTGGTCGAGCCACTGTAAATCGCATTTACCGCGAAACAACAAGAGCAATTTGGCATGTTATGGGGCCTATTTACGTCGGTCCACCAAGCCAATCACGCTGGAAATCTAATGCGGAAAGGTTCAACGCCTCCTGGCAGTTTCCCAACTGCATTGGTGCGGCCGACGGGAAGCACGTGGTTATTAAGGTAAGCGGTGACTGTTTATATGTGAAGGTTTCGAAAATTAAATTATTATTGGCTTTTAATCTGCTTACTGCTCCCAATATAATTTTGCTTAATTTATGTATTGCAGAAACCAAAGAATGGCGGTAGTGAGTATATTAACTACAAAGGAACGCATTCAATCGTACTGATGGCTGTAGCGGGTCCCGATTATGAGTTTTCATACGTGGATATAGGCGGCTATGGTCGGCAGAGTGACGGTGGAACATGGAGCAAGTGCGCTTTGGGAAAAGCGGTGGAAGATGGCACGCTAATAATGCCCAAGCCCGAGCGGCCGTTATTATGCGAGCACCTGTTGCCGCACGTATTTGTCGCGGACGCTGCGTTCCCAAAATCGGTCCATCTGATGCGTCCCTACCCCGATAGAAACCTATCCAGAGCCGCACGAATTTTTAATTATAGACTCTCCCGGGCGCGGCGCGTCGTAGAAAACGCGTTTGGCATTCTAGCTTCCAGATGGCGTATTTTCCAAAGGCCAATGGATTTCCAGCCAGCTCAAGTCGTTCTAAGCGTCAAGGCATGCGTGGTGCTACATAATTTTCTACTTCGCAAAAATATCGCGAACAGCAAGTCGGCGTATGTAATGCCTACCCTTATTGATCGAGAAAACGAAGACGGTCCTGGAATAATCAAAGGGGAATGGCGGCGAATAACTGCGAACGATACGGGGTTGTGTAGAATGGGAAAAAGCAGAGGCACCGCAGAGGCTATGCTTATTAGAGACAGGTTTCGTGACTGTTTTAACTCTACGGTAGCGTTTCTTGGCAAGAAGCTCGCACATTTGGTGTTTTTCAGGAGCAAGAAAATTTTTCGTCCGATGATAGCAGTTTCTAATTAAGTGTATACGAGTACCAGGGATTTCGTACTCTATTTTGTGACAATAATAAATTGTAATATGGCATATTTCGGTTTTGATCGTATAGTGATAATAAAAAACAATAAGCGCCATGGCGTCGTACAAAAAAGTGAAAAGTTTGCAACATATAAAACGATAAATTCCATCATTTTTTCAAATCCACTGTACAAATAAATGGCTTATTTTACTAAAACAAATATGCAGGATAATGTAAGTTTACACAGATCGCATTACAAGTTATCGCGATTGAGTCCGTTCCAATACAATTTCTGTCTCTCGAGATTCTTGTGCCGACTCTCTGTCGTTGCGTTTACTCGGTTCCTGTAAAATGCAGGTGCACGTAGTCATTAAAAGCAACTGACAGGAGTATTTTGTACACTAGTTTTACTGTGCACGAGTTTTGTACAAAAATCACTCTACACGACTTAACAAACATTTTTACCTGTGCGTTCAATACTGCTTTCAAGGTTGAGTAGCTCTTTCGCGATAACATTCTGAATGCCTTTCTTGATGCGCTCCTTCTGCACGGCGGTGGTCGAATTCAGAGTACTCAAGACGAAGTCACCTGTTAAAAATCCAATCAAGTAAAACTTGCCTTTGCATATTAACTACTTAGCAATATAACCAAATAATACGTACAAAAAAGTTCCTCCGTAGTAGGAACCTTTTTCCCCTGCTTTCCATGTTCTGCGAAGAAACCTCTCAGGACATTCGACGTTTCAGCTGCTTATTCGTCGTCTCTGCGCTGCGATTCGCTTAGCTGTTTGATGAACTGCTCGTAACCTTTGCGCTTTCTCCTTTTCCCAGAAGTACAATTATCTGAAATGAAAATCATTTATAATCAATATAAACTCAGAATACCAGGGACTCGATAAATGTATGCGTGAACTGCGTTTTTTGTTTTGTTTCTAAAAACATAACTAAAATGATCCAAATACCACACATTTATTTTAATTAAAATATTAATTTTTAATTCAACTCACACGCTGTCTTTGTTGCGGATCCTAAGCTTGAAGATCCAAAAACTGCATTTGGTCCCAAAAGTGCCATTTCTTCGCTTTATCGGCCTCGCTTCCGCTAGGTTTCGTCTTCACGATTTTCCACTTTTTTTGGAAAGTACTGCGCAGGTTGTTATACTGGTTTTTACAGTCGTCGCCTAAATAAGGAATTACCAACCCTCGTGAATTAACAGCCATCATGAATTATTTGCAGTGGAAACTTCAGTGTTATTTTACTAAATATTTCTATCACTCTTAACATAAAATATTTTCCGTAATTTTAGTAAGCACAGTATTTCACTACCATGTTTCCGTTTTTTGAAACAAACAAAATTACCTGTTTTGGATTCTCCGATCAACTGAGCGATTGCATTCCATACGTCCACCTTGCTCTTTGTATCAATATACTCTTTCGACTTTGTATCCCAGAGCGATCGATTCACTTTCACAAAAGCAAGAAGGTTTTCCGATTCGGCATCAGTGAATTTGTTCAAAACGGCGCGCTTGGAGTTGGGCTGCGCAGGCGCTCGAGGCATTTTGTACACGTACTAATAAAAACGACTAAAAGAAAACGCATGCAGCGCAAACTACAAGATGCTGATATTGTGGAGAAAAGCCAAATCCACAAAACGGAATAAATTGAATAAAGTATGAGTCCAGAGATCAGGAATAATCAGAAACGTTTTTACAAGAGAAATTCGATCTAGAACCATGCGCAATCAAAATTATTATCAAATGCTACAAAAAGAAATTCAGCGCGGGCTCCAGTACACAATAAAAATTGAACACGTTCATTTCATTAGTTTTGATGTCAGTTTCGAACCGGAGCAAGTGCAGTCGCCCTCGGTTGCAGACAAGCTGAGGGTTGTTTATACTGCAACCGAAGCTGGAAGACAACTGAAGCTCTAAAGTATGTCAACCTTCAGCTAACTGGGGCCAGTTAGCAAACTGGAAGCGCTCCAGATGGAGTATACCTCCTGCTTAAATGCTTTACAGCACGAAGTAATGGAAATTATCCATAGTCATGTACAGACATCTGGAGTAACTGGTGTGGATCTGGCACAAACGCTATCCACATTCCACAGCCCTGTTATCCAACACCCACTAAGGCATTAGGCCATTTGATTCAAATCATCCTGTTTTTAGCCTGCAAAATTATTAGTACTGGTACAATCTTTCCACCGGAGACAGCTAGAAGTCTGAACGACAATATATATAACAATCTTCATCTTTGCAAAAACCCTGGCGGACCTTGCGCATGGCGCGCCGGAACAATGCAACAAATCGTTATTGCCAAACTTCCAATCGATTTCTTGACATCGAGACTTGCATTTAAACTGTTGAATGGTTCATCATTCTCAAATAAATATTGCGACTATTGTAGAAACCAGAAAAACGTGTCTTCTACTCTAGAATTCGGGGACCCATACGTTAACTGCGCCGCGTCTGCGCGCATTGAGTGAGCAGCAGGGCTGACTTAGTAGTTATGCCGTTCTACACATTTAGCACAAGTCATTTTTATTCGACAACAGTCAGTACATATAATAATGCGCCTGCGCGGTTTTACACTAATAAAAATTTCAAATTTAACATGTGGTCTGTCACAGCGAACGATGCCTGTGAAATATTTGAAGACTGTGCAATTGCCATTCGCCATCGGCATGTGGAGTGGGCGGGGTTGTTCAGTCAGCGTTTTTGTTACTTCAACACGCAAAACTATTTATTAATTCATTTTAGCGAGCAACTACTTACTGCAGACAACAGCACTTAAGAAGAGGCCACACTAAAGTATTTCCTCTAATTTTTCGTGGTCCGTGTTGTGCCCATGACACACAACGCGTTGTCTCTTTGAATCTGGATATTCCGCTGCCGGAAGAATTCTTGCTCAGGTGGTTGTCCTGTAGCGGCTGTTATATTGTGTCCTGCTTTATCGACCAGCTTCGTGGTTCCGTCTCTCCAAGGTCGATATATCTCGGGAGCTGCAGCCATAAAGCTGTATCGTGGCTTTAGCCACGCGCACTTTGCGAGCTTTTTCGTTGCGGCCAGCTCCGCTGTGGCGCCGGCGTCGACGACGGTACAGTAGGGAATTTTAGATTTCACATGTTTTGGGCTCCGTACACTAGAAACTACTGCGTCACATAAACAGTACGTTAGAAGACTGAAAATTGTTTAAAAGGCTTGTACGGATGCACACTTATGCGAGGTACAGCTGAAAAATAAAATTAATCGAATCGAGACTGCCGAGAGCGTGACCAACCTGCTCTCGGGGAAGCGGTTAGAGCACAAAAAAAAGATCCACAGGAAGCATGCGCTGGCTTGTCGATCAGCCTGAAAGCGTGAACCCGATGATGGTTCACGCGTAGGATCAGAATTGACGGAATTCTGCCTGCCAAACAGATCTGGCAATGCTATACAGCGCCTACGCTATAGAAAGCGAGAAACGGCGTGATTGCTAGAACTTTATGACAAGACTAAATTCGTAAGAATTTCTCAATAGACAACTCCGCATTGCTGACTGCAGCAAGCGTGGAAAAATGCGCACGTAGCCGCCACACAGTGCGGGTGCGTGCAGAACAGCGTGCTTCCGCCACGCGTAAGGCGGGCGTGCACAAAAATACAACAGACTGCCAAAGCGAGGGTGTACGCATGTACGCCTGCGCTCACATGCCTCTGGGAGGGAGGCTGAGCTCCGTCGAAGCAAAATCCACGTGCAATTCCTTGGGATCCTTGACGGCTCGTCTGTGCGAATAAAAGAACATCGAAATTTTATCTCCTTTTAACATCACAAATTCCAATTACATGTGTGAATAAAGAGATCTCGAAACAAAAGTAAAAACAGTACAAAATATCAACAGGATTCTTAATCAAAACGACTAGGATCCTCCGACTCCTAAAGATCACTGGTTCCTGTCAACCGTAATCCGCTTTGGTCCATTCCGCTCTTTTGAGCAATCTTTACCATCACAATGAGAGATCCGCTTTTAGGAATAGGTGCGTGTCAATGTACGACTTAGGAATACTGATTCTTCATCTTTGGATTGAGTGCGTATCGTCCGTACGTCTTTTGAATACTTCCATCAATAATACTGAGATTCCATAAAGGTCATGGAGGGACGTCTTTGAAAGACAAGCTTGACGCTTCCTCCCTGGTAAGGTCATTCTCTTTTTCTTTGACTGATGACTCATTGAGCAGTGAAGTTCTCAAGGTCATCCCGTTTTCATCTGATATGCGACTCATTTGCGCCGTAACGATCCCAAAAGGTCATCCCTTCCACCAGGCGTTCCGTATTAAAGGTCATGGAGGGACTTAGCCGATTTTTGGCTTTCAAGCAATTCTGCTTGCCTCCCTTGTAAAGGTCATCCTTTTTTTTCCAACCATTTTCATCGTCGCACATCCCTTTTCTTTTCTTTTAGTGCAATTTGACGCGCACTTCTCTTCTTTTTCCTTACCAGGTTCGAGGGCCGGTTAACGCCGTGACTCCTCTTCTTCTGAGGCCGGTTATCGCCGTAACCTCAACGTCTGAGATTTTTACACCTATTTTCTTGAACTCTTTCTCTTTTTCACCCTTGTGGCTTCTGTCATTCCGCGAGAGTGTGCCGACTTAGTAGGCCGCAACTGCACCCTAAAAGTGACGTTTGAAATGTAATGAGGAAGGCCGGTTAGCGCCGTTACTCTTCCTGCTTCGAGGGCCGGATGACCTCCGTAACTCCCCTTATTTCAGATCGCCTTGATCCTCTGCAACAAAAATTCTGAAAACAACAAAACACAAACGGTATGACTGTTCAATACTTTACGTCTCCTTCGCCCTGATACTATACCTTCACTACCATTCTCGTGCTGCCGACTGATGGCCGTAACTAGCACATCAGCGATGCCCTAAAGGTCATCACTGATCGTTTGAACCATTGTCGCGGTTCCGATCGAAACGTCGTCTTTCCTTTTCATTGCGATCAGACGTTCGATCTTGAGGTTCCCTTTCCCTCTCTTGCAGCTCGTCTCCTTCGCTCCGGCTGCTAGTAGCACTGTGCCGATTTCGGTCACGTCGGCGTTGGATACGGATCAAATGCTTTCTTGCGTCAACCATCCATACTTTCTAAGTCCCGTGACCTTTTTCGATGATGATTTGATGACCTTTCCTCTACGCGTGACCTTCCTAGGTTCCTTGACCTTTTTCGAGGATGATTAAATGACCTTTTGTCTACGCGTGACCTTTCTAGGTTCCTTGACCTTTCTCGAGGAGGATTAAATGACCTTTTGTCTACGCGTGACCTTTCTGATTCTCGTGACCTTTTTCGAGAATGATCGGATGACCTTTCGTAGACGCGTGAACTTTCATTTCTGTCGGCTGACCTTTCCAAGTCCGACTGATACCTTTTTCTGGGCGATGATTTCGATCGTTTGAACTCGTCTCTCTTGAAATTGCTAAAGGTCTCCGTCATTTCTCTTTCTTGCGTACGGAACTTGCGCATTTCCTCGAGTTTGTCTCCAAACGCAGTTTTCATGACTTGCGACCATCGGCCTCCTTTCATCAGGTTGACCTTTTCTTGCAGGAATATCGTATGTTCTTCTTTCGTTAGTGAGAGTGGATCCTTTAGGATGATGTCCAATTGCTGAATGAGTGATTCGCGGATTATCGCATCTTCTACCTCTTGTTTCTTTAATATCGCGTCCGCAAAGGGTACTGCAAGTCTCGCAAGACCTTTAGCTGCACTGGCTAAACCCTTCTCTGCCGCAGCTTTCACTCTTTCTTCCAAACGCTTTCTTTCTGCTTCACGCATTTCTTGCACCGTTTTCTTTCTGAACGCATTCGCTTCCGCAGTTTTTGGAGGTTCAAGGGTTACGTCCCATCCAGATCTGCGTCCTACCGACATTCGGTATTTATCCTCCAAAATTACTCTATCTTCGGGCGATAGTTTCAGCCACGTTTTTCTTTTGACCAGGTGCCGAAATACATCTAGGTTGCCTCTTTTTGCTTCCTGCGGAATTACCAGGAGCTGATTTGGCATCGGCACGGCGACCACGCATTCCCCACAAGGGAATCGTTTACTTGAAAGAATGTTGTTGCGTTTGCAATCCGAGCAATCCTAGTTGTAATTTGTCGACGGGTCCCCGGTGACCTTTACAATCGACGGTATCCGTCCCTTCTCTGTCTTCTGATCAGTTTGGCTCCGTTCAGCCATTTTTCTCCGTTTTCACCTACAATCTCAAAAATTGTAAGTCCCGTGACCTTTCATTGATTTCATTTTCCAACGTCTATCTTTAAGCCTATGACAAAAAGGCTATTCAGTGCTGAGCTGAAACTTTTCGCTGCTCTTTGATGATGATCTTTGTCCTCCTTCTTTAGCTGAACCATTTTCAATAGTATTTGGGTGACCTTTCCCATTTTAGCCCATTCGCTAATTACTTTAACCCCTTCGCTAATTCTACTCTTTTTGCAGAGTGTAATTTGAAAGTAATTTGAGAACTACGGTCTGCTCATCTCCTTCTCATTTCTGATTCTGATTCTTCATTTTGTGTGGTGGGCCTTTCTCCCACGCATGCTCTTCTTGTCGATGTATGGTGACCTTTCTCTACTTCGTCAGCACCATGACCTTTCAGTCCTTCTTTTCATCTGGATGAGTGCTAACCCTTTTTCCATCAAAATCTTTCCAATTTTGCGCTTCTACTTCACGATTGAGCTCGGATGACCTTTCCTCCCGGCTGTAATTTCTGCTGACCTTTAGATCCTAACTTTTCGGATGAAGTCTGATGACCTTTATCTTCCAACTTTTCGTCTTAAGTTGGATGACCTTTAGTTTCCAACTTTTCGGATGTAGTCTGATGACCTTTCGTCCTCAACCTCTTCTTGGACCTTCCCTTCTTGCCTGCTTAGTACCATTCTCTCATGAGCAACCTTCAGCGAAGTCAATTTCATTCTTCTTTTTACTTGAGCTCGGGTGACCTTCCGCCCCGGCTGAGCTTCCCGCTAAAGTATGATGACCTTTAGATGGTTCACTCGATCTCTGATCTTTCCGCTCCTTTTCGTTTTGCGCCAATCATCCGTGAGCGTTTTCATTCAACGGCGTAATCGGAAATGGCTTCGATTTGCGGGCTTATTTCTGATGACCTTTACACCGTCCCAACTTCCAGTCTTAATGTCATAAACTCCTATAAGCCTGATTTTCGGGTTTATTTGTTTTCGTCCTTTAGTTATCCTAACAAGTAATGCTTTGTCGGCTTCATCTTCGTCTTGGACTTCCCCTCTCAGAATCTGTTCTGGAGTCGGCTTCGGAGTTTTCTTCGTTTTCTTGACCTTTCGCTTCTCAATTTCGTTTGCGATCCGTTGGCCAAGTTGGTCGGCTTTCTCTTTGACGGCTTTTATCTGTTCCGCCCTCGAAAGGTCATCGTTAGTAGCGGAGCGTGGTTCGAAAGTATCTTGCGATTTACGCTCTGCTACTTTCTGAGCAGGCTCATCCATTTTCGCCCTTGAAAGGTCATCTTTAACGTTAGTAGCGGAGCGTGGTTCGAAAGTATGCATTGAATTAGGCACCACTTGAGATCCATGATCTGCGCTTTCTTTATCTCGGTTCGGTGTGACCTTTCATTTTCCTCAATCGTGGCCAAATTCCCCGCTTCTTGATTAAGCTTCATAGTGACTGGCGTCTCAAAGTCTGTAACCTCTTTCTTCGGTCTTCCTCTCTTTTTCTTAGCTGGCTCTTCCGCCTATTTTGGCTCTTCTACCTCTTTTGGCTCTTCTGCTTCTTTCGGTACAGAGCGTGGTTCGGAAGTATGCCGACGACTATGCTCTGCTACATCTTTGTCCGAGCGTGGTTCGAAAGTATGAGAGCCATGCTCTGCTTGAGCTTGAAGGCGTGGTTCGAAAGTATCTTGAGAATCGCGCTTTGTACCTCGTCCGTCATGACCTTTCTCAATAGTTTCCGCAGCTGCCCTTTCAGCTTGAACTTTCTGAACCGGTAGCGGCGGATGCCACGGTTTCAGACGATCCACCGAAACGACTCGTAGGTCCGGTTCCTTCACCGCGTCTTGTTCGATGACCTCAACTTCGTTCGGTCTCGGAAAACTGAGAATCCTCCACACTTTATCGTATTTGTTCTTGAAGTCAGTTTGATTCTCCTTCTTTCCTTGCTTCGTATCTTTCGGCAGTCTGATTAAGACTCGATCTCCAACCTTGAATTGCGGTTTTGATTTCTTCTTGTTGTAGATTTCCGCGTGCTTTTCGTAAGCGTCTTTGATGTTGCATTTTGCCACTTCCTCTGAAAAGGTCAAGTTTCCTTTCGTGGTTTCGACCCATTCATCTGGTGCACCATAATCATCGGGGATGTTCGTCTTCGTCACTACGTCTTCTGGCATGGTCATCTCTCTTCCGTGAAGCATGTAGCATGCTGAGTACCCCGTTGTTGCGTGTACTGCGCGGTTCATTGCCGATATGACGTAGGGAAGATACTTGTTGAACTTC